GGACAAAAGACGGATTCTGCAGCAAAAAGTTCTGAAACTTGAAGGGTTTCCTCTGTCTTTGAAGGGCAGGATTCAACGTGATAGAACAGGAAGCGTGGTCAGAGAATTCAGGCTCGCCAAAGAAACCAACAGCTCCAGGGAAAAACTGATGCCAGCTATCATTTACCAAGATTCTGTCAATCTTTTTTGCCACAGGAGAAGTAGAACTTTTATTCCACCAGGTGTAAGTGCAGCCTCTGTAAGTGAGATCCATCAAATCTGAGTTAATAAGGCAAGCACGGAACAGTCTGGTAGGAAGATCCACATTCTGGTTAAACATGACAGAACTCAGCTATTCACTGCAGGCTTGGAACAGGGCGAATCCTTAGCCATGTCTAACTTAGGATTCTCTATTGGTTTCCTGCCTATTAGATACCTTGGTCTTCCTTTAATGAGTAGGAAGCTTCGTGTCTCTGAGTTCTCTCCTCTTATTGAGAAGATGGCCAACAAATTCAGATCTTGGGCTGTTTCCTCTCTGTCTTTTGCGGGAAGACTTCAGCTGATAAACTCTGTCATCTACGGGCTTGTTAACTTCTGGACTTCGACTTTTATCTTGCCTAAAGCTTGTATAAAACAGATGGAGTCCATGTGTGCTCGTTTTCTTTGGTCTGGCTCTATTGAGAAATTTCATGGGGCTAAAGTTTCTTGGTCTCAGGTCTGCTATCCAAAGGCTGAAGGCGGTCTAGGGCTCCGAAGGATGGGCATTTGGAATTCTACTCTTTGTTTGAAACTGGTGTGGCTACTCTTTTCTGGGAGTGGTTCACTTTGGGTCGCCTGGAACCATTTTCATCACATGAAAGGCAAAAGTTTCTGGTCTTTAATTGAAACAGCTCGTACCCCTTCAAATTGGAAAAGTTTACTAAGGCTGCGGCCCCTTGCTCAGCCGTTTGTGGAATGTAAAGTTGGAAATGGGAAAACAGCAAGCTTCTGGTTTGATAGATGGACTCCTTTTGGTCCCTTGATCAATTTTCTTGGAAGCAATAGCCCAACTACCCTGCAGATTCCTGTCAATGCCTCTGTGTCTACTGCCAGTGATCTCCTTCCTTGGGTCATCTCTGCTACTCACTCTCCCAATCTTGCAGCTATGCAATCTTACCTCTCTTCTCTCCGTCTCTGCGAGCTTGAGGATGACTTGTATTGCTGGGTGGTCCATGAAAAGAGGTTTCATGCCTTTAATACGGCCAAAACCTGGGATGTTATTCGTCCAAAGCAGCCACCAAAACAGTGGGCTTCTTCGATTTGGTTCAAAGGATCCACCCCTAAAAATGCTTTTACTATGTGGGTTTCCCAGCTGAACAGACTGCCCACTAAAGACAGGCTTGTCTCCTGGGGCTTGCAAATTCAACCTGCTTGTCTTTTGTGTGCAGATTTTGATGAAAACAGAGACCACCTACTGTTGAGATGCAGGTTTAGTGCTCAGGTTTGGCATTATGTTCAGGCCAGGTTGCGCCTCCGGCCTTGTATCTTTATCACTTGGTCTGCACTTATTGCTTGGACGAAGATGAAGTCTGCATCTGCTCCGCCTATTCTCCGAAAGCTTGTTGCTCAGGCCACAATCTATCATGTCTGGAAGCAGCGAAACAATGTGGTTCACAATGGTATTTCACTCTCCCCTTCGATCATCTTTGGAGACATTGACAGGGAAATCCGGAACACCATTACTGCTAGACGGGCAAGGAAACATTTCAGAAATTTAATGCTCCTTTGGATCCGTTGATTTGTGTTGATTGACACTCAACACTAGTTTGTAATTCTTGCTTTTTATCTTTTTTTGGGCAAGGTTATATTTATAGGTTAAGCTTATTTTGTAAAACCTCAACACTTCATTTTATATGATATTCACATTCCTATCAAAAAAAAAAAAGAATGAACTCGTTCACTCACACGAATCCCGGTTTTAATTGAAAATCAAATAGAATATTTTTTTTTTTTTTTTTTTTTTTTTTTTTTTCAAATAGAATATTTAATAGATCTTTATTCATATTATCATATCCTCCAAGTACATGAAGTCAAGGATTACTAAGGCACCATAACATTAAATACTTTTGGTCTAGTTTAACAACATATTAGCTTAACAGTTGTAAGCGCAAGTGCAAATTTGGTTTTTATTTCCGGTACAAACGCCATTCCCGTTGTACTTTTGAAAACAAAGTGGTATGCATTCTTGAAAAGTGCATGGCTTGCTAAGCTTCACGTCCACAACACATCTTTTTATATTCGCTCCTTCTACATTTGGCAAAGCCAAAAAAGCTGAAAACAAATAAAATGTATCAAAATATTTACAAATGACTATAAGTATATTAATTAAACGAACGAGCATATATTATTTGAAAATGATTAGGTCAAAAGTATCTAAACATATAACTCTATATATATGTGATGGTAATAGGTATAGTATTTAGACGCCAAGTGATTATCGCATAAGTAGTCATCTATATCTAATCCGTCAAGTCACACTCATCTTTGTCCTATATGTTTCAGTAGTTTTTTCCTAAAAAGACCGAAGAACGACCCGACTCTGCTTAATGAGCTAGATGCATCGATTTGAGTTTAATAACATATTTAATGCTATAAAAGACGTAAAGATTTGTACCTGAGAGAAAAAACATGGAGATGAATAGATACGAACATAATAGTTTAGCCATGAATAGCTGAAAATTAAGAGGATAGTGTTAATTAATCTAATACTTGTTTGTTTGAAGAAACTTTTTGATATTGAAAATGGTATAGATAAATAACCTTTTTATAGACTGTGAAAAATGGTACATGATATGTAATAACTCTTTATAGGAAACATATATACAAATTAAAATTATGAAGACTTTGACCAAAAAATAAATAAATAAGAAGAAAATCAAAAGAATTGATATAGTAAAAGTTCTACATTTTAAAGAAAAAAATGCAATCATCATATATTATCAGTTTGTATGCTTATATATTTTATATAATGTAAAAGTGGAAAAAAGATCTATTCATTTTTTGGCAACAAATCCATTCATTTTCCTTTCATTATTTTCTTTTTTTTAGCAATAAATCGATTATATAATCATGTTTGGTATTCAAATCCAGAATAAACTCTATATATTAACAACATATAAGACTATCAAAATGTAATATAATTATGCATATTTAGAAACTTTAAATTTACGGAAAATTTTGGTTACTTTAATAACGTGGTTATAGAGTAAACTACAATGCTAGTATAATTTAAAAAGACGAAATAGTTGGTTTATACAATAAAAGTTAGAGATTTGATCTAACGTAAATTTAATTTTTAGAATATTAAAATATCCTCATTGAAAGTTGGGACATTTCTAGACTAGTATATAAGGTTTACGGATTTCTCCACACATTGTCAATTAATTTTGAATTAGAATCTCATGGTTCTTAATATGCAAATAATTGATTCAAAGTTTCACTTTTGTGGACTTGAAAGATGCAAATAATTGGGAGTTTGAGACGAGGATAACATGGAGGAAGTGGCACTGCCGTCTCTTTGAACTTATATATGCACGTGTATTTATTTCCAATTTCCAGTGGTTTATATGATTTACCACCTTTAAAATACCCATAAAATCCAAATGAACCTATTATAATAAATAAATATAATTTGAAAATCCTAAAGCTAATGACATAATTAAAAAATCAGGGAGTAGTGTTAATCTATAGATATGGTGATAAATAGGTAGAAAACACAATAGTTTTGCTATAATATGATAAGAGAATCATGGAATAATGTTAATCTAATAATTATTTGCTGGCCTTTGAATACAATTTTTAAGTACTGACATGGATAGAGAATCATGGGATAATGTTAATCTAATAATTATTTCTTGGAACTTTAAATACACTTTTTAAAGTATGAAAATGGATAGAGAATCATTAGATAATGTTAATGTAATAATTATTTGTTTGAACTTTGAATACATATTTTAAGTATGGAAATGGTGTATCTATGTATTACACATGAAAGAACCTCATGCTATGTAAAAAAATTATTTCTGTGAATTAAGTTAATTGCTATTATTTTAATCTGTTGAGAGGTGCATATAGTAATCAATATAGTCAATCTTACATTTGTCAACATTCATTCACTTTCCTTTTATTTTTATTTCTGCTTAGATGTTTTTATTAGGTAAATAATAAAGAAAAAGTCATGTATACGTATACGGTATACATATATATAAACACAAACATTACATAACAGTAAAACAAAGAAAATATCATCTCTAATTTACAAAACATTAGAAGCTCTCTTTGTTGTGATATATTGATCATGGCCAAGATATCATGTTCTTATTTCTTCATACTCATGCTTGTGTTCTCCGGTAATTTCATGTTTTTCACTTCCAAACATTAAAAACTAATGTTCATTTTTACATTACATAAAATAGCTAAACGTTTACATATACATAGATATATATATATATATAGTTTCATATCATATCATATGATATTTTATTTTTTCAGCTTTTTTATTGGTTGAAAAGGCTAAGGGAGATGAACGTTGTACTATAATCATTCATCCAGGATCTCCATGTGACCCTCCTGATTGTCGTCTATACTGCTTTGCGGAGTACAATGGAGTTGGAGAATGTATTGCAACCAAACCTGGTAGAACTGCTAATTGTATGTGTACTTATAATTGTTAAAGAGACAAATTCTAAATAATTTCTTTAATCTATATGAATAAAAAATTTGGAAGTTCTTCGGCCCTTCTTGTGATTGGATAATTATTGGAAAAATTCTGAAGATTTCAGTCACCTTGTTGTCAATTTTAGAAAAATATATAATCAGCAAAACATATATAGTTATAATGTGTGGAAAAAATTATCATTTTCGGATCGTATATAATTGCATCGATCGACGTTGATGTTTTGCATCGAAATCACGTGGAGTTAGTAAGACAACGTTGTAAGTTGTAACCACTATAAATTCAGGGCCAATCTCGTTCTTCCATCTTGCACTAGACAATAATTAAGAAAGCCTCTCCAAAATGACGTTTTCTCGTAGCAGCTCGATTTCCTTCTTCATCCTTGCTTTATTCGGCGTCTTAATTAATCCGGCGATCTCTTCTCGCGTCTCATCCTTCATCAAGCTCCCAAGCTCCGTCGAATCTCGCTCTTCGGACGTTTCCTACTGCGAGGGCTGGAGATTGGCTGCCGAGACCAACAATGCCGGAACCTGGAGGGTGGTTCCGTCTCAATGCGAAAACTACGTTAAAAACTATATCAACGGAGGCCAGTTCGACAAAGATTACGATGTACTCGCTAGTTACGCCATCGCGTACGCTAAAACGATCAATCTTGCCGGCAAAGATAAGGACGCGTGGGTCTTTGACGTCGATGAAACGCTTCTCTCGAATCTTGAGTACTACAAGGCTCATGGTTACGGGTAATGCCCGTGCACACTCTATTACTAGCTCTTGGATTTGGTTTTATTATATCAACTTTTATAATGATTGTTTGACTAACTTCATTGACCATAAACCGGGAGATTTGTGGATTTAGGTCTGAACCGTACGACAATACTTTGTTCAATGAGTGGGTGGTAAAAGGAAATGCCCCAGGTTTTGATGCGAGCTTGAGACTCTACAAAGCTCTCAAGAAACTTGGTTTCACTATCATTCTCCTAACCGGCCGAGATGAAAGTCAAAGGAGTATCACCGAGAAAAATCTCCGCGACGCTGGTTATTTCGGTTGGAACCGACTCCTCTTGAGGTAAAGCTATGCCAAAATATTTCTCTTGTTTTGGTCTAAATCTCTATAATTGAAATTTATCTAGAGGCGGTTACAGACTTACAGCTATGATTGTAGATCAACTAAAATTAAAAGAAACACAACTGAAGAAAGACAAAAAAACAGAAAAAAGATAATTAATGGGTTGCTTGTGATTATGAAATTAAAGAGCTACGAATAATATTCGAAAGAAAAGTTTTAGACAATAATATTATAAAGACTGAAGTTTTTCCTATAAAAGTATTAGATTTAAAGAATAATATTAGAAAGACTAAAGTTTTAAAGAATGATATTAGAAAAACTATAGTTTTTCCTATTGAATATTTGACTTCAACAAATTATGTGTTTATAAAATCTCAAGCGCTCCACCAATCATTTAGCCATCTAAACTAAACTTATGAACCGGTACATGAGGTAAAATACTAAGTTTGTTGTTTTGGTTAATGGAATTGATGCAGGGGTCATGAAGATCAAGGAAAAGCAGCAGCACAGTACAAATCAGAGCAGAGAGCAAAAGTGGTTAAAGAAGGCTACACAATCCATGGAAGTGCTGGCGATCAATGGAGTGACTTGCAAGGTTTTGCCGTGGCCACTCGTTCCTTCAAAGTCCCAAATCCGATGTACTATATTCCTTGATCCTCTACTATTAATTTTTTTTTTTTTTTTTTTTTTGGCAAAGGATCCTCTACTATTAATATGTTGCATGAGTTTGAGGTTTTTATGTATGAATAAGAATTTATGAATTTATTTCGTAATTCGTTGAATAATGTACCACGTTCTATTTTTAGTACGATTTATGCTTCAATGCTTTAAATTTCTATGGATAAGGGGACTGAATAAATAAAATAAGCAGATGAACAAAAAACAAATCATATTAATCAAATTTGTTAGTAATTAAGGGATCCCAATTATTAATAAGCTCAAATGTATATGTCTAGTATAGTGTCTAGATTCATTTAGTCATTGTACATTGCTACAGTTTTAAACCAGTCTAATTGCTTTTGTGTTTCTGTTTTTGTTAAGGGTTCTGGTCGATCAAAGGTCGAGTCTGTATATAAACTGCATGTACATTTTTCTTAATTAATGTGAATGAGATATTTAGTTAAAAATGGCTTCTCCTCGCGGCCTTTCGATTTTGTTCTTCGCCCTCCCAATACTATTTTCAAATCCCAAACCATACAAATTTACAGCAAATGGTAGACGCGCGTTTTCGATGAAAATGACGTTTTCTCGTTGAGTGATGACAATTTGATCAATAGTTTATAGTTATATATGATTGACCATTAAAATATGGTTATTATAATTTCTGAAAATGTTTTGATTTACCTCTATTATTACCAAATCAAATCAAATCCAGCCAGTGAGGACGTTGTAGTTCTCAATAAAAATCATGTGGGTGTAATAAGACAAATGTTTCATCTATTTTAAATTCGCGGCCAATCTTCGTTTTTCCATCCAATCGTTGAAAAGAAAAAGCCTCTCGAATGACGTTTTCTCGTAGCAGCTCGATTACGTTCTTCATTCTAGCTTTATTCGCCGTCTTAATTAATCCGGCGATCTCTTCTCGCGCCTCGTCCTTCATCAAGCCCCCTCGACGTTCTTCCATCGCTTCATACTGCGAGAGCTGGAGATTAGCCGCCGAGACCAACAATGCTGGAACTTGGAAGGTGGTTCCGTTCCAATGCGAAAACTACGTTAAAAACTATATCAACGGAGGCCAGTTCGACAAAGATTACGATGTTGTTGCTAGTTACGCGATCGCCTACGCTAAAACGGTCAAGCTTGGCCGAGACGGCAAGGACGCGTGGGTCTTTGACATCGATGAGACGCTTCTCTCCAATATTGAGTACTACAAGGCTCATGGTTACGGGTAATTAATGCTCTCTCATGTTATTATTACCGTTGGATTCTGTTTCATCAACGAAACTAACAACATGATTGTTTGACTAACTTCGTTGACCATCAAACCGGGAAATTTGTGGATTCAGATCTGGTTCTCGGTTTGAGTTTTCTTTTGTGCTATTTTTCGCTATTATACCGATCGGTTCGAGTGATTTGTTTATGGTGAATTTAGGTCTCAACCGTATGATAATACTCTATTCAATGAGTGGGTGGTAAAAGGAACAGCCCCAGGTTTTGATGCGAGCTTGAGGCTCTACAAAGCTCTCAAGAAACTTGGTTTCACTATCATTTTACTAACCGGTAGAGATGAAAGTCAGAGAAGTATAACCGAGAAAAATCTTCGGGACGTTGGTTATTTCGGTTGGAACCGACTCCTCTTGAGGTAAAACAATAGTTTACCAATCTACTAACTAATTTGCCATCTAGACTAAACTTATGAACTGATATTAAAAAAAATGATTTTGGGTTAATGTGATAAATGCAGAGGTAAAAATGATCAAGGTAAAGCAGCAACACAGTACAAATCAGAGCAGAGATCAAAAGTGGTTAAAGAAGGTTACAAAATCCATGGAAATACCGGCGATCAATGGAGTGACTTGCAAGGTTTTGCCGTGGCTGCTCGTTCTTTCAAAGTTCCAAATCCAATGTACTATATTCCTTGATCATCTGTCATTGATATGTTGCATGATAATTTATCATTTATGTAAGAATAAGAATTTATGAATGTATTCCATAATTCACCAAATGTAGCCATTCTTAATGTACCACGTCCTATTGTTACTAGGATCTATGCTTCAATGCTATGTAAGAAAAGGGCACTGATTAGTAGGGCTCGACAAAATGTCTGTTAGATTCGCTTCGATCCGTTATTCAATTCGATTTGATCGATAATATATATTCTACTCCAGTTGATTTTGATCAAACATTTTTTATGTATAAGATTCTTAATGACTAAATAATAATTCTACTAACTAATTAACTAATTATAGTTTTTTGGTTTAGTAATGCGAAACGATAACCAATAATAAATGGGAGAAATCATTCTCTCTCTCTCTCTCTCTCTAAATCTCTCCAATGGTGTCTCTTCGTAGCCTTTCGATTTGGTTCTTCTTCTTCGTCTTCTTAATCAATCCCTCCATTTCTATTCGCACTTCCTTCATCAAGCTCCCCACAAGCGACGAATCTCGCTACTGCGACAGCTGGAGATTAGCCGCCGAGACCAACAACGCCGGGACCTGGGATGTGATTCCGTCAATTTGCGTGGATTCCGTCGCCGAGTATCTTAACGGAGATCAGTTTCGATCAGATTACGATGTCATCGCCGATTATGCGCTCGCATTCGCGAAATCGGTTGAAATCTCCGGCGACGGTAAGGATGTGTGGATCTTCGATATCGACGAGACGCTTCTCACGAATATTGACTACTACAAGGCTCATGGTTACGGGTATGTTCTTTCTATTATTAGCCGTTAGATTTTAATTGTGATTTATCAACGGTGACGATGATTTTTTGACTTTACTTCGTTGACCCTAGTACTAAACCGGAATCTGATAAGAGTAATGCGGTCTCTAGGTTTAAGAATTGCGAATTTAGATCCGGTTCTAGGTTTAAGATTTCCGGTTCTGTTGTAATTGCTGCATATTTTCAAGCGTACCGATCGGTTAGAGTGATTTTTTTTTGTTTCTGATGGATTTTAGGTCTGAACCGTATGACGATAATAGTTTTAGTGAGTGGGTGGTACAAGGAACAGCTCCAGCTTTTGATGCGAGCTTGAGACTGTACAATGCTCTCAAGAAACTTGGTTTCACTATCATTTTGCTAACCGGTCGGGACGAGCATCAAAGGATTTCCACCGAGACAAATCTCCGGGATGCCGGTTATTCCGGTTGGGAACGTCTCCTCTTGAGGTAAACACATAAAGATCAGAAGACTTAACCGAATTCTGCATATTTCAAATTCCAAAACATTACCATACCAAATCGGTATACACCTAAGCTAAACATCTGATTGCAGAGGTCCAAATGATCAAGGGAAATCAGCTACAAATTACAAATCCGAGCAGCGATCGAAACTAATTGAGGAAGGTTTCAAAATCCGTGGCAATTCCGGTGATCAATGGAGCGATCTTCTAGGTTTTGCCGTGGCTGATCGGTCTTTCAAAGTCCCAAATCCCATTTACTACATTCCTTGATCACTCATTTCTGATTTATGTATTGAGTAACAACTTATGTGTTTTAGACATTAATATCATGTTTGCTCCTAGATTACATTGATTTTTAGTATAAACAATAATAACTAAGACTTTCATGTAATGTAAAATTATATTTGTTCGGTATTTTCCATAATTACAACCGGAGAAAAGCTTAGAAGAAGCTCATCTTCTACAACCTTAACCATCTCTCTTTGAGGAAGACTGACCATAACCACTCGGCTCATTGGTCCATTACCGGGCAGTGAGGGAAGCACTATGACCTGTCCACCTCCAGCTACAGGCCCTTTTACATAGCAAGACAAGTGGCTCAGAACCAAATCCTCCTCGAACATCATCGGACGTGAATGAGACATGTTTTCTAAATTAGTACACACGAGATCAGAGCCATTAGATATTGCACCGTTATTGCTGCTACTCAGCCATTCGATCAAGTCCATGACCGTGTCGTAGTCTAGTTTCTTGGTTATGTTCTCAATCTCTTGAACAGCGTGAAATAACAGTTTATCTTTGGTTTTAACCGGTTTGGAATAGGGAACCTTGTGATAAACCATGCAATTGCCAAAATAACCTTGGTCTAAACGCAATAATTTCCTAACGTCTAAGCACAAGGACATGTCCATGAGCTCGTTTCTCTTTCCTTTGGCTCGACTCACACAGACCCAAAAGAGTCCAGCCAAAATCTCAAATGTCGAAATCCTTGGCTCATTCTCACCGGCTCTGATCAGCGGATCCGGGAATAGAAAAGTAACCGTGACCATATGGTCTTCGGTCACGTTTGATGGTGAAGCCGTTAGAGAGCAAGATTTGATGTAATGGCTAAGCAGTTGGTTGTTAGAGATTAGTTTATGGTTGGCAAGCCGGCGAGGCGGCAACGGGTGGAATAGTGGTGGAGCCATCATGGATCGAGACAGAGTTAAATCTGCCCAAGCTCGAATAAACATCATTGCACAAACTGGATCGGCTAAGAGATGGCTACAACTTAACCCAATAGCTAGCCCACCACTTTCAAACTCAGTCACCTATAGATAAATAGAAACCAAAAAAATAAAGACAAACCATATCTTACTAAACCAAACCAGAAGAAACCGAATTACATATATACCTGAACACAAAAGGTAGACCAATAATAATGAAGATGATACATGTCTTCCCAATGAACAAGCTTGAGTTCTTCCTCTCTATTTACACTCCTAAGCCATTCTTCAACCGACCCGGTTGCTCTCGCCTCCACCATCCTCATGCCAGCGTCATTGCTCTTCACCTTCCACTGCCGATTCACATCATCCTTCTCTTCCGTACCATCAATTTCCTTAACCAATCTCCCGGTTACAATTGGATAACAGTTGAGGGCGTATGCTAATGACTCCCTTAATTTTTTTGTGATTTCTCCCGGTTCTCTAGTCTTGGAAGACCGGTAATAGTACACTAGACGAATGTGGTTTGGTTCCATGACGTGGTCCAATACTGAAAACCTGTATAATCGCCCTGGTTCCATCGATCTAGTGCTCACCACAGTTCTTTTGCATATGAATCTCACGCGGTCCTCCTCCATTATTGTCTTCTCTTTAGCAAACAATTTTTGTTTTGTTTTATTCTTTGGTTAGAATCCAGTTTTGATGTGCTTATACATTTATGTATACCATATATATAGTATGTGCATTAGTTGGTGTTTTATTTTACATATATTTTCATGTTTCAACACATACTTTTCCCATGACTACTAAACAACCAACTCCTAAGGGAAAGTAAAATTTCCATGGTCCCTTAAAACATGTTTCTGTTATGGTCGGATACCTAAACGACTAAACCCCTAAAATAATAATCATCTAATATAAGTGTGTGCACATAAATTGGTAAAATAGGTAAGTATAACAATTTTGGCCAAAAAAAAAGAAAGAAGGTAAGTATAACAAAATATTTACCAATTATCTGATTGATTCAATCCAAGCTATTTTCCGGTGAAATCCTTATGGTTAAACTTGATAGTACACTGTTGCCAAAAATAAAAAAAAATCATACTACACTCAAAGTCCACTAAGCCAATTATTGGTTTAATTACATTTCATGGCACCTTATTCTTATGTTAGATTTTACAAAATTCTTCTGATTACAAATAAACATTAGCACGATTCGATTACACAGAAGATGACTTAACATTTAATTTGGTTACTTATAAACTAATTAAGTCACAAAAAGGATACATCTTTAAGCATAAACCGTTAATAAAAAAGCTTCTAACTTTAAAAAACTTTCATGGAGATGAAGTGTAGTACTGATTGTTACCCTCTCTCAGTCCCACACTTATCGCAGCACAAGCCAAAGGCTGCGTCGGAATCCTAAAACAGCTCATTGCTCCGCCGGAGTAACCCGAACAATCCGGCTGCGGCCGCTGCATATTCCTCCCGGGAATACAATTTCCGACGAAATCGAACCCGAAACTAATCCTGGAAGAACATTCAGAGCTAAACCCAGAGAAGAAATTGAAAGCAACAGTGAGATTAATCAAATTCCTCAACGAACAAACCAAATCAGGAACCTCCCCGGAGAATTTGTTGTGAGCAAGATTCAAAATTTCAATCGCCGACAAGCAAGAGATCGTATCTGGAACATGACCCATTAGGGCATTGTAGCTAACGTCAAAGACTTCAATTTCAGAGAACATACCAACAGATTCCGGTATACAACCGGTTAACTGGTTATTCAAAAGCAAAACTTCCTTCACTCTTGAACCCGTGAGGCCAAAACTCGTCGGAATTTCGCCGGAAAATCTGTTATTTGCGAGATTAATCACCGAAGCCGGAGAATTTCCGAGATTTCTTGGGATTTCTCCGACGAATTGGTTGTTATTGAGGAGAATCGCGTCTAACCGTTTGTTGAAAAGCTCTTCAGGGATGAAACCGGAGAAACTATTAAACCGGAGATCGAGATAAACCAGGTTTGGTATGTAGAGTGTGACTAAAGGGAAAGGACCTGAGAGTTTATTGTTGCTTAGATCAAGTTCTTGAAGAGAAGCTAAAGATTTGAAAGAATCTGGGATTTGCCCTGAGAATCTGTTACTGTTCAGATGGAGAATATTGAGGTCTGAGAGTAAAGCTAGGTCTTTGACAAGTGTGCCTTTGAGATTTGCATGGTTAAGATCTATGGAGGTTATAGATTGACCAGAACAGAACACACCTTTGTAAGAACAAACATCTGATCCAACCCATGTTTTAAGAACATTAGATGGATCCTCTGTAATAGCTGATCTCCAAGCTTGAAGAGCATTGTAAGCTACTCTGTTTGGAGCTGATCCTGGAACAGTATTACGGTTACCGCCGTTGTTGTATCCGCCGCCAATCCAAACACCACCGCCACCGCCACCACCGCCGATTCCAACTCCAACGCCGCCTCCTACTCCAAAAGAAGCATCTGTCTGAATCAAACCAGTCAAAAACAGGAAGAAACAGAGAAGCTTAAAGTTGTTGCCTTTCTTCTTCTTAGACATTTTTCTTCTTCAAAGTAGCTTTTTTTTAAGAGTTGACACTTAAGGAAAGAGAATGAATAGTGATTGTTTCAGTGGATTAATGAGGTTTGTGTGAGTGTGTGAGTGAGAGAAAGTGTGTGAGTGAGAGAGAGTGTGTGAGATTATGAAAAACAGAGTGGATGTGGTTGAAGAAGCATTGATGATATGAGAGGGAGGGGACAAGATTATCAAAAAGAGTTCTTATTTGTTCCTTGTGTAGTTATGTCACATTTGCCTTTGTTTTGTTAAGTTTTATTTACTGTTTATGTTCAACTTATGATTGCATGAATGATGAATCATATCACGGGTTCAACTTCTTTTGCCTTTTGTTCCACTTTTATTATTTCAATGCATTTTAGTGTAAAATATTGAATCACATGTTTCGAAAAACTCTTACATATGGCATTTGAATGGATGCACTAGTTTGATTCCATTCTTGATAAGTTAACTAATAATGGTTTTAAGTTGCACCTACTAAACAAGTGTATAATTGATTGTGAATCTTTTAGACAGAAGTAATCAAGAATGTAATAATAAATGAGAAAAAAAAATGAACAGAATCTAGATGAGGCTATAAATAAGAAAAGGCATATAGCTTGTGACTGTGAATATCGTGTTGTTGACTTGTATTGGGGAGAGAGATTTTGGGAGTGTGAGAAAATTTTTAACTGCATCACATGGAATGGCACAAATGTATTTGTGTCTCTCCATTTAAACAAGTATTTTTTAATATGTAGCTGCATTGAATCCAAATGTTTTTCAATTCAATTATTGAGAGGAAAGCTTATATACTCCCACAATAAATTACTTTACTTGATCTAGCTAAACAACAAAATTTATAGATTTCCAAGCATTCACTATAAAAGAAAAACACAACAAACACAATGGTATTGACAACGAAATAAATTTCTTTGTATTTTGATATTATCAGTCTTAAAAATACCAATTGCTCTACTATTTTCTTATAAGTTAAGTTGAGCAGTTTAAAGATGATTGATATGCTAGAAAGTAGTTTTCAATACTATATGGATGGAGACAAAATATGAAAAATAGTTAGTGGTGATTTGTAGGATTTTAATAGATAGTCTTTCCATTTTTCGAAATAACGTACCAACCATTAAAAGAGCATGAGATCCGTACCAAAAATGGACGTGAGGGTTTATGTTCAACTTTTAGGCAAGAACATACCCACAAACTAAATGTTGTTCTAGTTCGATTCAATTTTGATTTCAGTTTAAAGACCTTGACGTACTGGACAAAAACCTGACTCAAAGACAAATGATAATCACGCTATTGGCAACCACATGCTGACATGCATACTTAACTCAATTGCAAGTAGGCCTATAATGGGCTCATTAAGCCCAGTTCCTAAGAAGCCTAGGTGCTAGTTCTTGCCTTCTTTGGTAGTATTCATTCCTTTGGAAACGATCAAGTTAATTTGAATACTTAGTATTAAAACGAAATAATTATGTAAAATTTCTGAAGGACACAACGACCGGTGGTTTTGTATTCAAAAACTAGATGTTTTTTTTTTTGGGCAACAACTAGTAATTAACTTATTAGATACATATTTTAAACTACAAATTGCATGTTAGTTTTTTTAAAAACTTAGTTATATAGTCAACTGATTTCTACTAGTGTGGTCGATTCACCATCCGATTCAAACCCGCAACTTGTTAATAACACTTCAAAAATTATCATTTAGTTAAATAAATTGATTCCTTATCATTTGCTAAATTAAATCTTTGTATAGTAATGATGGAGTCCACGTAAAAAAACAAGCATAAAGGGAGATAAATTGATTCTTGGAGTCTATATAAAGACGGACAATGCAATTCTTTACTTAAATATATTTATATGTATATAAAATAATAAAAGTACAAAACATAATATGAAATTTGAATATTGGTACGTTAAAAAAAGATTTCAAGGAATATAATATAAGTTCAACATATGAAATGGAAAATCGAATCCATTTGTCGAAAGAGAAAAATAAAATTATTAAAAAGAAAGAAATAAGCAATAAAGGTAAATATTGTCTGTTTATTCCTTTATTTCAGTTTCGAAATCTAACCATAGCAAAAAAAAAGGGTCAAGTCTCATCTCCGGCCTCTCTCCCCATGTTGATTTTGCTTTCTCCTCTCCCAATGTCCCATGAACACAAATAAGCCTAGAGAATTAAACTACGTAACCGAATCTCTTGGATCTATATTGATAATTTTCTATCTTAATTTTGCGACAGCCAAAATTTTACATCAAGTTATTTCTAATATAAAATATATAATAGCTAAACCAACATGAATTTATTGATCCCATACCATTTTTCACTAGATAATTTTGTCAACTAATAAAGTTAATCGAAATTTGTAAAAGAAATTTTTTTTATGGAATCAGCACTTTATTAAAAATTTGAACTTGTTAACACATTGAAAATTCACTATATACTTTGGATATAAATATCCAACGATGAGTTAGGCCGTTATAGGGGTCATTTGATAATATGCTAGAAGACGAGTGGAATAAGGAATATATATATAGAGAACAAAGCATCAAAGAAGGTTGGAATGTAATAATATACGTGATATATTATATATATATATATATATGTGTATATATAGACATATTATATGGACAAACTTAAAGACTAAAGAGACTAAACATAAACATAGATAAGTGCTTTTTAAGATGACATTACTTCTTATATTCTTTAGGTATAGATTCCATTATTCAACAACTCAAAAAAAAAAAAAAAAAAAATCGAACAGGAATCAATTTTTAGTTCACTTGGTATAGTTCCCTCCTCTCTTGTTTCAAACCAATCAAAACTCACACAATCAAAATGTACTCTCACTCTTACTTTCGTTTTTCAACATTTTCAAACCTTACTAATTAAAAGTCTTCTAATTAAATTCCTAACAATGTAGACTAGTAGCCACTAATATACAGATCAAACTAAATCTGAAGGTTTTATGATACTGAACTGTAGGTTCTGCTACTAGACCATTAAGATCATGAAAGTTCGAAAAAAAACCTAGGAAGACCATGGCACATGTATGGTAGTATTGAGTGAAAGGTTCGGCCATAATACTATTAAACATAAAATTTGAAACTAATTTTAGATGATTCCACAATCAAACCAACCTTTCGTAAATATATAAATGTATAGTATCAGATTTCAAATGACATTTGGGTTTCAGTGCATTGGATAACCAAATGTAAAATGAACTATTTAAAAAGTATAGGGAAAGTGGTATAACAAGCAAATAATACTAGCTAGTATTATATACCAACATATATATTAAACAAAAAAAAAACAATAAATTATACAGTTCATATATCCTAATTAACAAAAACAAAGAAATCAAACAACAAAAGAAATGAGTTTAAAATAACATGTAATAAACATACTTATATCTAATTTTATATGGACTGTTGATGATTTTCATGCAATTTTCCTTGCTTTTCTTCTTCTTAGTCTCTTTGGAATATAACAGCTTTTTCTCTCATGCTTTTTCCTTTCTTTTTTTTTCCTTTTTTTTTATATATCAAAATCCTTTTGAACTATATAACAAAAAAAAGGCACTTGATCTTTGGTGCTGCTTAAAAACCCCTCCACCATTGCAAAATCATGCATATATAACTTGATTGGTCCAAAATCGAACTATATACCACTTTCCATGGAGATGTCATGATGATGATGACGATCGATGAGCATCATGATAGGTATGATAGTACCATCTTTTTGTGATGTGGGTCGACATGATCATCAGACTGGAAAATGGCACAATTACCCATGATGATCTTGGTTGTCAGAAGAGTCAGGGGCTGGCCAAAACGTTGAGTACTTCAACCATTCTGCTTCTTGTTGGTTCCCCATTGATGATGACCCCTGCACCAATCAAAATCGCTTCTCAATATATACATACATACTTACGCACACATATACCAACCAAAAAAAGCATATAGAGCTGACCTAAGTCAATCACTTTTGGTTTGGTTTGAAACTAACTGAAACTGAACTAACTTAACCAACCAAAAATGCCATGTTAGCATTCCACAAATAGGGCATATATTATGGTTGCCTGTTATATATATATTTTACATTTTGGAATGATTTATAAAACTAAAATAATAAGAACATTCCATTAAATTTTAGACAGATTAAAAAAAGGAATGCAGACATGCTGTCCCCCACACACAATGAAATCTACTAATGTCTCTTACCGAACTTGTCTCGCGAGGTACTACGCATGAAAAAAGACTTTAAAGTATATACATATATACACAAATTATATTACATATAAACATAAGTTTATATATATCCACTATCATTGCCTTTTAAATTAGTTATAAAATGGTTTGAAAAAAAAAAAAAAAAAAAAGAAGAAGAAAAGAATCTGAGAAATTTTCTTTTGTTCTTTAATTAAAAGAGTAATTTATAGGTAAAAAGCAAACTATAATTAACAAAAGTAAACACATCTCTCTTTCTTTATCTTTTCTGGTTTTGTTTACTTAACACTGTTTAAACTCTTTCCAATTAAGTAAAGAATAAACGCAGAAGGAATATATGAGTCTTATAAGTATCATTCCCATGCAAAACTGAAAAAGAAAAATATATATTAAAAAAGAAAAAGTTTTTCTTAAAAATATTCTTTACTTTTATTCAAATGTAACTTACATTGTACTATCTTCGACCCTTACAGAAAAATATTATTACCTTAAAACATTTATATATAATCTCGATTTTAGTTCTCTTTCTCTTGTATAGACAGTAGTTCTGAATCTACGTGGTACCAAACAACATCTTACTTAATGCATGACATTTTATTTTGGCGATAATGATCATATGTCTAATATATATACTCGTAAATTATTATTTTTGAAAATAATGATGGTGAAAAAGTGAAATTTTCCCATGAAATTAAGAGTCAAAAAAGGGATTAATAACTTACATCTTTTACATCATGATGAGTGGTAGAAGAAGTGCAGCCCATTATGAGTTCTTCCAATCCAGAAGCTGACCTTCCTCCCATCTTCCCATCATTATGTTCTTCATCTCCTTCTTGACGTTGTTGCTGTTGTGTCTTGTTCAGTCAATAAAGACAAAAGTAATCTCAGGAATTTTTTTTATTTAATTCCTTAAGAAAATGATCTTAAAACATTAAAATTAATCATCTTGTCTCTCCATGACCAAAGACCACATTGGTTTCCTACTTGTTCTTAGTTTGGCTGACACTAAAAAGTGACTTAGCTTTTGTTGGCTTTGGATAATGGATATTAGTTAGACACATCTTACTAGACTAATTCAGCATAATTATATATTAGACATTTTAACTTTAGTTGTTTTTTTTTTCTTGACCAATATCTTATATATACTTTATTTGTCATAATCAATTTTGGTACAACCCAATTTGCATGCCTATGTAGTCCCATCATTGTTAAGTCACATGCATGCAAATATCTTAAAAACCTAACATGTGCAAGAACCACAATTTCTACTACTTAATTAAATACCGATATATATATATATATATACGTGCCTGTGTGTGGAAGAACACAATAAAAAACTCCAAATAAGTAACAGTAACTGTAATTAGTTACATTACAAATTCACAACCCTAATTTGAATTAAATGTTTTTTTATAAAATTTAAATTGAAATGTTGAGGACCTTATAAAAGTTTGATAGGTGCATGACTCCCACCCCAATCAATAGTAACATAACGTAATTTTAATTTGATTATTATAGATAAATCATAATGATATTTCAGCTAACTTGTTCATTTCATGAAACTGTATCCTTCTCCTAAATTAATTAATTATATTAATTAAGAAAAGAAAGGGTGATATATATATATATATATATTCTTTTGGTACTAATTATTAAAATGTAAAAAAAGAGAAGATTAATTAGCTATTTTACCTGGTAATTTTCATTGGGGAGCATGATTCTATGAACATGATAAGGATTCTCGTCGAGGATATTAATGGAGGCATGGTGAAGCGAAGTAGATGGAGAAATAATGGTTGATATTGGATGTGTTGGCTGGCTTATGTTGAATGCATGATGCCGTTGTTGTTGTTGATGATGATGATGATGGTGATGATCATGAGCCATATGATGTGATGCTGATGATGATGCTTGATGACGATGACGATGTTGTTCTGCCATTACATCCTCACATGTAGCGTGCCCGGTCTGAGGAGTTTCCCTCCTCGCCACCTGAAAAGATATAAATTTTTAACTGCTAATTAAAATAATTGATATATATATATATATATGTATGTATACTTTCTTTTTTATATTAAAAATAATTACTTTTATTATTTCATATTTCTTTGGACCGTTGCGGTTTAGACATTGTTTTCTGAGTTTATCACGTCGGGTGAAACTTTAGGTCACATTGTTAGTTAAAAATTGATTATCACCAACCGTTCATTATTATCACGTCGGGTAAATTTATTATTTAAATTCCTTAGGTAACTACATTATAATACGACCAAAAAAAAATCAAAAACTATACAAAATAAGCATTGATTACTTGCAATGCAAGCCAATTTAAGAACCCTAAGCATCACTGTTTCCAGTATTTACCTTTGTTTTACTTAATCTTATGCGAGAGCGATAGACATAATTAACAGTCAAATCAAAATTGAGTTCAAAATCAATGAAATCATATTGTATTAAAAAAAATTCCTTGTAGGAAAAAAGGTGGTAATTTGCGTTAGAAGAACTGGTGAAAAATTTGTATTACAATATTTTAACCGTTTAAATTTAGTACTATATATTAATACATAATACATATCATAGGATCTATTCACTTTTTAGATTCAATTTAATTTTTCTGCAAAATGTGTATCACAGTTTTAGTACTTATTATTTTACCAGTCAAGTATGCAAATTAATTTAGTTATTTTACTAAACGAAAAATCAAAATGGAAAAAAAGGGGTGCATACCTCATCAAAGCTTTTCATAAACGGAACAAAGCTGAGTTGATCCATTGCATAACTCGGAAGCCCAGCCGCAACCGCCGCAGCGGCAGCTGCTACGGCCATAACGCCACCACCAACGCCGCCTATTTCATCGGATCGATTTGGAGGATTAACATTAATAATCTCTCTAGACGAAGAACAACTCCCACCACTCGTAGTCCCACTATCTCTCCTCATATGATACTCTCCACCGCCTCCGCCGCTACTCGCTTCACCGCCTCCTCCACCTAAAGCGTTCAAGCTCGATGTAGATGACGACCAGTTGCATTGCCTAGGCTGAGTTTGATAAAAGATCTTAGACACAACAAGTTCTCCTTCTTTCTCTTCCTCATGTGTCCCCAAATGATATTGATGCATTACCCAATTGGTTTTCTCCGGTTTTCGATTCTTACCAAAATTGGTATACAAAACCAAAATCTTCTTACAACCTTTTTGTTTACCGTTTACCATAACCGGCCTTGTCTTACCGGTCTTATGCCACCTCGTCTCACCGGAGCTACTACTTCCTTGCAGATTATTGTCACATTCCGTTTGAATCTTTCTTCGCTTTCTTGTTCCCGTCGTGTACGCCTTTGATGGTCTATGAAAGAAGTGTCGGCTTAAACCATCTCTGGTCACTCCTATCAAAGTTGAAAAAAGAACAATGTCTTTATTGTTAATTTATATGTTTCTTGTGTGACCCAAATTAAAAAGATTCAAACTTTGGTATGACCCAAATGAAAAGGAAAAAAATCAAAACATTGGTTTGACCCTCCGTTGCTAGTCATATCAAGCAATCATAAATTATAATGAAAGATATGCATGTGTGATTTATAAATAAGAATGCATGAAAAATGAATGATATATATAGATGTATATATAGGTTATAAAAGTATATAGTGTAGTTGTGACCAAAGTATAAGTCTATAAGAGATATAAACTTTGGTGGGACTCAACTAAAAAAAAAATCAAATTTTGGTGTGACACAATGGTCTATTATGTATATAGTCTTATCAAACAAGCATATAATGAAGATATATCAAGAATGTGATAAATGGAGTGCATGAAGGTGTGTATGTACCAGGAAGTTTCTCGGGGTGAGTGTAGCAAATGCCGTCTTCGCCTTCAATGGTTGGGATGAATTCGTCAATGAGAGGGTGAGATTTAAAGTCTTTAGCTAAGACTTTCGCTTCTAAATGTTCTATCAATTCTTGATCCGTTGGGTCAAATTTCACTCCTGCTGGTAAACCAACCCAATCCTGCTAAAAAAGAGGGGAAAAAAACTTAATTAATATAAAAGAAAAAGAACAAGAGAATATACGTATATACAACTATACATATAAAGACTCGTATATAGACGCTTTAAAATTTGGATTTTGAATTTCTGCAAGCGATAGAATAAAACAGAGAGCATCATTCTTGATGTTCTTCATTGATTCTTTTCCTCTTTTTATTTTTTTTGCTTAAAAAAAAAAACATTTACAAATGACCTAAAATGAGAAAAAGAGTGGTAGAAAGATTTTTTTTTTCAGTTAATTAAAATAAAATAGAAGAAAAAAGGAATATTACTTACTGGTTTGCCTTCGAGCTTGTGGCCGCAGCTAGGACACTTCTTGGATCCACAAAGTTGATGTTCTTCGATCTTTGCGTCGATTATATCCGAACCAGTCACCGAACCAGCAGGATTACTCTTGTTCATCTCAATCTCTAATATCTTTGATCAATTTTCTCTTATGCGTCTGCGTGTAGTTGCAAAGATAATAACAAAGCTCTTTCGATCATATCCGAGGGTTGAGTATATATATAGAGAGCGAGGGACAAGAGAGAGGCTACAGATAGAAGATTTGAATAAACCCTCTATTATTATAGAGAAGAAGCAACTGATTTTGAGGAGACAAGACAAAAGAGGGTTTTTCTTGAAAACCTAACCGACACAAGAAGAAGACAAAGTGAGAATTTATGGGGAAAAAACCCCAAATTATGCTAAAAGGAACAAACTTGGTCGAGCGGAATAAGATCTTAGACAGTACTGCAAATCAGGAAAAAGAGAGAGAGAACAAAGAGGAGAGATAGAGAGAGTTAATAAACGACGAAGAAGGAGGAGAAGAAGAAGAAGAAGAGAAAGTGTGAGAGTTTGGGATGTGAAAGGTATAAATTAATAAAAACATTCGAGAGAATTTTTTTTGTTGAGGGAATTATAATATATATATATAGTATAACATATTATATATATATGATGTATATATGTGTCTATCTCAAACTTTAACTGAAGAAGTAAGCGAGAAAAAGGAAAAGGTGGCTCTGAAACCCATTCACTGACCCACCTTTTATTTTGCCTTTGCTGGTTTAAGAAGCCGCTATGAGTCTTTCAAGCGGTTTGTATACATTTATCTACAAATTCTACTCTTTTGTATATTCCAAATTATATATTTACTTATTATTTTTGTAGTATAGATATGGATATGTATACGTTTCTACATTCTAGCTATCCTTTTCTTTTTTACTGCTCTTTTTCTTTAACTTCTCATTTTAGCTAATCCTTTAAACATCGAAAGTTCATTACAAATTTAATTTTTATGTAATAAGTGGAATGAATTCTCTACAAAAAAAAAGATAAAAAGTTTACCATCTATCTTTATAATGTAATGTGAGTTTCATGCTGGCAAGTATATTGGAATTTTCATCACTATTAACTTTAACAAATACGTAGTCTTTAGATGATATGTAAATATATAGTATAAGTAAATTAACTTAAAAACCAAAAAACAAAATAGAAAAATGGATTTTGTGACGTCGGAAAAAAAAATTACATGAGTTTTGTATTCATGGTCTGTATATATGACATTAAAATATACTTCACATTATACTACTCTTAACAAACATTTTTTATTTATCAAGGATAAACGTTAGTCGCCATCACAACCTCCAGTAACTTCTAGTTAAGGAATTAATCGAGTAAATTTCTGTAGAAGGCTAATAAGCACAGAAGAGAATAAACAAAAAAAAAAAGTAAAAAGGAAGAAGAGAGAAAAAAAGACGAGAAGAAGGAAGAGAGATCACATGGGCATCGAGCTGGAGGAAGTGATCATTATTCTTTTGTTATTCAATTTTCTTCTTTTTTCGTTTTTATTATTTAATTTAATTTCTGCAGAGAAAAAAAAAGGAATTAAGAGGTTGCTTGAGAAGTAAGGCAATTTGAGCAGCGACCCATCATATGGACCACACCATCTCTTATCTTTCTAATTTATAATATATTTTTCGTATTTTTTGTTTTGAAATAAATCATATGTCTCTCGTATTTTATAGAAAAGCGAATATAATTATGAATTTTTATTATTATTTATATGGTCTCTTTGGAGATCTGTTTACATCAGCATGAATTATGAAATCATGGCAACTATACTTTTCTACAAATGTTTCAAATCAGACAATAGTTTCCTTTTGCCATTAAAATGTTTTTGACGTAATCCTGAAAATATTACGCCTATTAAATAATTTTGTGTTCGTTCGTAAAACATATTTATTGTACACATTATCTATCATACCATTCATAACAATCTTGAGTATCTTGACTGTGATGATTATAATTAAAGTTCTATCGTATTATCAAGGTAATGTGAATTTTCATCAACTTCTTTGAGAAAGAAAAAATAGATGGTCAAAACTACCAAAAGAAAAAAAAAACGAACAGAAGAAAATTGTACACTTAAAATTTCTAGAATAAGTGTAAGAAAAATAGATTCGGTTTTATATATATTAATATATAGACCCTAATGTTTTTTTTTGAAAAACTAAAATATATATATATACCCTAATGTTAATCGTAAGAAGAATAATTTTGTTTTAGATTAATTTTCTACTCGAAAAAAGTAGATTTGTTTTTTATATAAACGAAACAAAATATTATGACTAAACACTTTTTGCTTTCTTGATTTTGGGTCATACTGCATTTTAAAATTTCGATTAGAAGCGGTTTAATCTAGAAAGTGTCAGGTGTAATAACCTTATACGGCTCTTATGATGTATGAATTAAGATTAACGTAGCCCCACAAACTATGGATCCATCCTTGAATTTTGAGATCTTTCGATTGGGGTGGAGTGTTAGGTCTTGGAACTCTCTTTGAACATTTTATATTCTTATGGTTCTGAAATCTAAGATAAACAGCCAAAAAGATACTTCAGCATTTCATGTAACATAAATTAAACTATTCCTTATGATTTGAAAAATCACTAAATCAGTAAATCTTTCTCAATGCTATAAATTTTCTATATCAATTTTTTAGAGCCGTTAGATCACTTAGACGTAAGTCACGTAACTATTCAAAAGTAAAATTTGATATTCTCTATCTGGTGTGAAAATATAATTTTCAATGTATATTATGTTTTATTGGTTGATCAAATGTGTAAGAAATTTATGTTAGTATTCTTTAGTGTCACAAAAAGTTCCTATCTAATACAGTATTTTTCTTTTTAATAAGCGAGATCGAAATGAAAGGCGTTTAAATAATTTGAGATATATGTGGTTTTAGTTGGATTGAAACATGACCACGGCAAAAAGAATCTAACTATATTTATAAATTAAATTCATTTCGATTTGTCAAGGTTTGTAACTTTAGCGTCAAGAATTTCAAGTTAAGGATATACAAAAGACAATCTCAATCCCAACGTTAGAAAACCACATATATGTATATATAAAATAGAATACCCATCATAATTATATTATTTCTTATTTAAAATAAAAATTCAAAATATTTAGAGAGTCAAAGAATGAAATCATGGAGGGGCCAAAGACATGTCTTGAATAAAACATATAGATGCTTATGATTGCCTCTTTGTCTGGGTATTATCATATCTTTGCCATAATTTTTGTTTTATGTTTTGTTTAAGTACTCTTTTTTCTTCTTATTTTTCTACAATAGAAATCTTTAGAACTTATAGACTCTGATCTTCGTTTTATCCCATTTCCTATCACAAATTTCTACTAGATCGTATTCAATTTTGACATTTTGGATGCTAAATGTATAGAGATAAGACATATAAAAACAAATTAACCAAATTGTAACCACAAACATATAGTAAACCTTTGCTTGATAAGAGATATTTTTACAGAAGAAGTAACTTCGATCAACTAGATTTGTCATTTGTACTCAAAGTGTTAAGTCTCTTGCAGTAGTAAACACATGAAAGATCTTAGAATGGCAAATTATGGTCGTTCAGAAAATAAATGGGCTTATGAGCTTACACATTTATGGCCAATTTAAATCAGATGTGGAGTTTTGAGTCTTATGTGGGCCGGACTTACTAGTTCTTTCCCTTATATATGTCTTTTTGTCAACTTCCTTAAAAGCCTTGTAGTCTTGATCTTCTGTCAACCCTGTTTTACGAAATATGAAAGTAAATGTATTAAGGATTAGGAAAATCAAGCCCAACAACGTTTTTTTTTAGGTTTTAGCTTTGTGTTTTTTAAAAAAAAAATTTTATAAGTGTCTTTCAATTGCTCTCTCACCTACCAAATTCTTTACACAAAAGTCTTCCAGAAATTAAAACTACATTGACACTATAAAACGAAATGAAAATTTTTATTTAAGAAAATACGTTTTGTTACAATTTATGTCAAATTAGAAACATGCCGGGGTATGTTAGAGCATAGTACATGCCTTATCCCGAAATATCTATATGTAGAAACCTAACCCAACAGCCAAAACACCGACTCCAATTAATTTAAAATCAAAAATCAAAATCAAAATCAGTCTTTTTATTAATTATTATTACACAGACACCCAAATCTTTCAACAAGTTTTAAATATAACCTTCAATTATTGAAATCGTCATATTTTTCTCCAAAGTAATTAAAACCTTCTCTTCTGAAATGTCTTGAATCTTCTCAATCATTAAAAGCAAAAACCACAAACATATAGCCACTTGTTTCACTATCTACTTCATCCATACATGAATCACAAGCCCGTGATGGCCTGATCTACTTCCTCCTCCTCCATAATTCCTGGGTTTCAATTTCTTCAAAGGTGAATGCTTTTTATTTTCTAAAGTTTCCATTTTTGTAAAAAAAAAAAAAAAAAATTTGAAGTCAAACACTCTGTTCCATTTTTGGGGTTCTTATAAAAAAAAAAAATGGGTGATGACATATTCTCTAATCTTTCATTGTATGGATTCATTTAGATTCCGATCATCTTCACGTCGGAGTACACAATCTGAAACAGATCATCATCAATTGGGGTTTTTAATACCTAGAATCAGTAGAAAATATCGATCATTGAGCTTCGATTCTGGTCTCCGTTTGATTGTTTCGCTTTCGGATAATCAGAGCTTTGAGTCTCCGACAAGGTTGGTTATGTCATCTTCTGTCCCAAACTCGGACCGGAAGATTGTTACTGGTCCCGCAGGTTATATTCTTGAAGACGTTCCTCATTTCACCGACGACTTCCCTGATCACCCTGTACGTCTCTAGCTTTTTTTATTTCAATTGATAATGTGAATTCTATAAATGAGAGCGGGAAAAAGTCTGAAACTTTATATGTTTATGCTTTAAAGTTACCTTTTTTACAAACCCAATTGTGAGTTCTTCTCTGATTAAATCGATTGTTTGTGTCATGTGATGTTTTCAGACATATCCAAATCCATTACAAGACAACGCAGCTTACTCTGTTGTTAAGTAAGTTACCGTTTGTTTGCTTTACCCTCAGTGAACTTAACTTTCTTTCCTTAGTCGATTTCGAAATGTGTAAAGCTTCTTGATTGATGTCAAATTCAATGTGTGTTTTCAGGCAGTATTTCGTCGATGAGGATGACACGGTTCCTCAGAAAGTAAGTAAAACACTCTCCGTTAGCCATTAGCGTTTGTTTATTTGTCTCTCGTTAATAAAGATTCGGGTTTCGCTTTTTTGCAGATAGTAGTTCATCCTGATAGTCCTAGGGGAACACATTTCCGCCGCGCAGGACCACGTCAAAGGGTATATTTCTGTCTTTTTATATCCGAAGATACTACGCTTGAGGAGGTGAGCGTTGATGGAGTGTTTTGTTTACGCAGGTTTACTTTGAGCCGGATGATGTTCTTGCGTGCATTGTTACCTGTGGCGGTCTGTGTCCCGGGCTTAATACTGTGATCAGAGAGATAGTTTGTGGTTTATCTTACATGTATGGTGTCAAGAGAATTCTTGGCATTGATGTAAGTCCCATCAGTTTAGCTATTCTTTCAGCATTGCTCTTAACTATCTTACTCAGTATATTAATCTTGAGATCAATTCTGGTTTTCAGGGGGGTTACAGAGGTTTTTACGCGAGAAACACAATCCATTTGGACTTAAAAACAGTGAATGATATCCATAGAAGCGGAGGAACTATCCTCGGGACTTCAAGAGGCGGTCACGACACCACCAAGATAGTAGATAGTATTCAAGATCGTGGGATTAACCAGGTTCTTGATATATTTAATTCAACAATGAATCCGCAGGATTACATTGAACTGGTGTTAAATGCTCATCTGTTTTGGGAATTCACCAGGTTTATATAATTGGTGGAGATGGATCACAGAAAGGAGCTGCTGCTATATTCAAGGTAGGCAAAATTTCTTCTGATAAATACATTGCGTTAGTTATTTCTTTAATTACTGTCTCTGCAGGAGATTAAGAAACGCGGGCTTAAAGTTGCAGTTGCCGGAATCCCCAAAACAATCGACAATGACATTCCTGTAAATCTTTTTTCCCCAATGGTTTGAAATTCTAATATTGTATCGTAGTTTCTTGTGGTTGTTCAAGATGATGACTGTCAGTTCTTTCTTAAAACAGATTATTGATAGATCATTCGGGTTTGACACAGCTGTAGAAGAGGCGCAACGTGCTATCAACGCAGCCCATGTTGAAGCTACAAGCTTTGAGAACGGTATTGGTCTTGTGAAGTTAATGGGACGGTACAGCGGTAAGCAGTTTCCCTAGACAAGGTAGTTTTCACCCAAGTTTAGCTGAGCACCGAAGAGATGTTTACGGACTTTTAAGGGTTTGTGCAGGATTCATTGCAATGTATGCAACTCTAGCCAGCCGAGATGTGGACTGTTGCTTGATCCCGGAATCTCCATTTTTTCTTGAAGGCCCAGGCGGGCTTTTTGAATTTATCGATAAACGGCTAAAGGAGAGTGGTCACATGGTGATTGTAATTGCAGAAGGCGCGGGACAAGATCTGTTGGCTGAAAGCATGGAAGAGTCCACAACTCTGAAAGATGCCTCTGGAAACAAACTTCTACAAGACATTGGCCTATGGATCTCCCAAAGGATCAAGGTTAACATATTAACATTCCCGGAAAACAGAGGATTGCTTGAGAAAAAGACCGAGAAAATGATTTTGCTTTCCTTTATCTCTTCTTATGCAGGATCATTTTGCCAAGAAGATGACCCTTACCCTCAAATATATAGGTGAATAGATATCTTATGAGTTTTTCTTTTGGGTCTGTGGAAAATAATAGATAAAGATTGTTTTTTGGTTTCTTTCAGATCCAACCTACATGATACGGGCTATTCCGAGCAATGCATCAGACAATGTATGCTGCACACTATTAGCTCAAAGCGCGGTTCATGGAGTGATGGCTGGTTACAATGGTTTCACTGTTGGCCTTGTCAATGGAAGACATACTTACATTCCCTTTTATGTGAGTCTCAGAGAACCAAATCCACTGAACCAAAAGTAGATCCATTGTAGGATCAAATACACATCTGGAATCAATCTGAGCATCTCTTACATATTCGATTACTTTTGTCGATTTAGGATTCCTAATAACATGGTTTGAATATTGTGTAGAGGATCACGGAGAAACAGAACAAGGTGGTGATCACTGACAGAATGTGGGCGAGGCTTTTGTCTTCGACGAACCAACCGAGTTTCATGAAGCAGGACAAGATCCACTCAAACCAGTTGGTTGGTGAACCAGGGACCATGAAATGGTGATCAAGACTGTCTACAAAAACATTCGTTTGTGGTTTGACTTGAGGAGATCTTTGTTTGGGAAGTAAGGTTTCTTTATTTAGTAGAAGCTTTTCAAAATGTTTGATAGTATTCATCAAGCAAAGAGAAGAGAGATAACTCCTTGTGAGAATAATAATGTAATAACTCTTGCTTTGATTTTACTCTTCACCAAATTTGTAATTTACGATTTTATAATCAATCTATTTATACTCTTATAATGAAGATGGTGGTAATGACACTGTTTCCTTTCATTGTCATCTTAACTACAACTTTGCTTCTGTATATAATCCCACACTCAAATCATTGAAGCTCATATAACTTTAATCAACTTTACATGATAGAGAATGGGAAATCAAACTGCAGCTGGCTTCCCATCTTTTCGAGGATCACAAACTGCAGTAAGTAAGCCCTTGGATGGTTTCGATTTCTTTCCAATTTTCCTTCCAATTTCAATAATCATTTCGTCTTCTTTTTCTTCCTTGAAACTCTGAACAATAAGTTGAACAATAGCTCCACCTGATACTGCTTTGAGTTCATGTCCCCTCTCAGCCAGAAACATCTTAGTATCTTCTGAAACCCCTATGTGATCGCCATTGATCGCGGTGAAGTTCTCATAGGAAACAACATTCGGTATCAACTGTAACAACAACAACCAAAAAGCAATGAGTGTATTCATTTTGAATGTTAGTAACAAAATCAGATGGTTTTGAAGTATGCATACCCTATGGTAAATTCTGGCACTCTCTACTGCTTGTTTAGGTTTCATATTCAACACAAAGCAATTAAGGAACACTTGAAGCACTGCCGGAATTATATGCATTCCACCAGCTCCTCCAAGCGCAGCCACGAACTCACCATCCTGCGGTAAGAAAAACAACCGCGGGTTTTCATGGACCGCGGTTAGATCTCATAGTATGAGATTATGAGTTATAGATAACAGGAAAAGTAGATAAATACTGATGGTGAACCTTGGTGATCACGAGAGGTGTCATGGAAGATAATGGTCTTTTGTTTGGTTCAATGAAATTTGTAGGCGCAGGAGGAAGCCTGTCGGGAGTGATTTCCGCAGGTACCGAGAAATCATCCATCTCGTTGTTAAGTACAATTCCGGTGGAAGGTGATAACACCCCGGCACCAAAACCGTAATTCACGGTTGAGGTCATTGACACACTGTTTCGATCCGCATCCACAATGCAGAAATGACTTGTCCCTTGGTCCCTAAGTTGGCTCCACCGGTTCAAATAGTACTCGGGTGGGAATGTCGTGTTGTCGAAAATCTTCTTTCGGATTTCTTCCGCGTGAGTCTTCGAGAGCATTTGGTTCATAGCGTTTGTTATGTTAACGAACCCAGGGTCTCCGAGATCCATCCGAGCTGCAAACATATGTTTCATTGCTTCTATCAAACGGTGCATCCCGAGTTCTCTTCCCGAAGCAGTGTAAAGGTTCGAATAACTATCCAAGATATCAATAACCATCGAAAAACCGACAGTACCACCCGAAGGAGGCGGCATTCCGTGAATCGTATAACCCATAACATCCGCAGACATTGCATCGGTAACTCGGACTTTATAACTTCTTAGATCATCCATCGTTATGATCCCTCCCGCCTTTTTCACATCGTTAACTAGCTTCTCGCCTACTGTCCCGTTGTAGAACGCTCCCGGTCCTTGCTCAGAAATAGTCTCAAGACTCCGAGCTAGCTCCGGGTTATAGCAAGTCTCACCGGGTTTCAAAATCTGTCCATTTCGTGAGAAGACACTCCGCAAACCCGGATCTTTAAGTATCATCGCAGCGTGGCTCGATATAGCCTTTCCAAGATACGGATGCACCACAAACCCGCCTCGAGCCAACTCAATCGCCGGCTCGAAAAGCGGTTTCCACGGAAGACGGCCATACCGTTTCCAAGCCTCGTAAAGTCCAGCTATCTCTCCCGGAACTCCCATAGACAATGCCCCCAACGATTTCGCACTCGCATCATTCTTATACATATCCTGATTCACCAATTCACAAAACTAACACATTAAACACTGAAAAATCAGATCAAGAAAGATTAGTTAAAAAAAGCTCTTACCTTAGAAGCAGCTAATGGAGCAGTTTCTCTCATGTCAAAAGCCTCAACTTTGGAATCTTTCTGCGAGCTAACAATCAAGAAAGAACCACCACCGATTCCACTCGACATTGGATTAACAACACCAACACATAAAGTAATAGCCACTGCGGCATCCACCGCGTGACCGCCTCTTCTAAGAACAGAGGCACCAATCTCGGAGCATCGAGCATCGTCAGCAGCCACAACACCATTCTCTGATTCAACCACGTCACTGACAGTTCCAAGGCTAAGACTATGATCATCAATTGTTTGTCTTGATAACAAAACTGTTGTAATCTTCTCACTAAAGCTATAATAACCTATGAATTTTGAGAACACAAAAATCAGAGATATTTATTGCAAAAAAAAAAAAAAAAAAAGATGTTGACTTCTACGTTAATTAGTAGTAGACAGAGAAGAACCTGAAGTTGCTACAAGAATCAGAAGCAGAAAAAGAGCAAGCTTTAGATTTTTGCTCTGTTTCTTCTTCTCTGCGACTGTTTCGTGGTCGATGCCCAGAAGAGGATCGGCGATGATTGCGTCACCCATCCTCGATCTCTATCTCGATCTAGGAGAGAGTGAATGAATGGAGTTAAAAAAAAAGAGTTTTGTTTTTTTGGTTTAAAAAAAATGAAAAGATTCTAAGTTGGTCTCTGTTTTATAGATAGTTTTCTAAGTTAGTGATTGGAAGTCTTATTGAAAAAAATAAAATAAAAAACACTTTACACGCCACAGCGACTAAAGTCTGATAGTAACGTCTGTTTAGTAACGTCATCGTGGTACTTCCCAAAGAGCAAAAAGATAATTAAAAATACAAATAAAGAAAAATGATTTGAGAAACAAAACTATGAGAGTGATCTTTTCCGATTTTTGTATATAATTAAAAACTGCTCACTAGATTTCCGGAATAAATCTTTGATTTCAGAAAATGAGAGATATTATTGAATAAAATGATAAAACGAAAAAATGACATATATATGTGTTTGAATATTTTAATGTATAATAATTAATTATTCGTTATTCTTTTCAATCTAGATAAATTACACGTTAAATTTGATAAGTGGATATGTTAAATGTGATCTAGTAGATTTGTTAGGTTTCAACATACAGGGCCAGCGTTGAGGGGGTGCAAGAGGAGCAAATGTATCGGGCCAAATTTTTTTTTGGTAAATTTAAGGGCCCAAATTTTTTTTTTTTTAAGAAAAAATGATTATTTTTAAGAGTTTAAGATAATTTTAGTATGAAAAAGGCCCAAATATATATTTTTAGTATGAAAAAGACCAATTTTAAAAAAAATTTTAACATGAAAAATGCCAAAAAAAAAAAATTCTATGAAGAAAGGACCAATTTTTAATATTTGTACCGGAACTCTAAATTAATTGAGCCGGCCCTGTCAACATACTAAAGGGTTTTTTACTTTTTTTCAACACCTAAGTGTTATCAATTATTGATGGCCATGCAGTTTTTGGACTACAAAAGGTCAGATATTGATGAGATTAGAAAAGTGTATATGTATTTTATTCAGAATATTTGTTGGACTTTTAAAAGATGAACTGCGGAAAAATCTTTCTGGATCTGTCATGTAAAATGGTCTAGGTTCATTTGTCAATTGTAAATGCCTAAATGGGTACAAGTATAAACCAGTAAAATGCAAAGGATTCAACTGTTTAATAGATTTCATTTTCATTACTATTTAAGTATTTCGGTTTAGTTTAAGTTTGAGTCTGTATATAAACCGTACGATATCTATTTTCTCCTCGCTAATAAGAACAAACGATCTTAACAAACTTTTTTTATTGTTTATTTTTTTGGAAAATTTCTTGATTGTTTTACAAAAATTTCATTGATTCTCATTCATCTTTTTCGTTTATCCATTTTTGCGTTTATTCAAATCTTCGTGTATCTCCTTCTTGTGCAGATAGCTCTTTTCCTTCTAGGTTAGAGCTGAAATCGAAGTCAATGATGAAGAGAAGTTATAATGTCTAGGTTCATTTGTCAATTGTATACTGGTACAAGTATAAACCAATTTAATATATTTCATTTCTATTTCCGGTTTAGGATTTTGAACCTAAGTCTAGATATATATATAAAACATACCATGTATATTTTTTTATCTAATTAATAAAAATAAAATATATATTAGTCGTTTGGTAAAACTTTCGTCTTTGTTGTCTGCCCGTAAGAACCATACAAGTCAAATAATATTTCAAAGAATCTCTAAGGAAAGTATGTACTTAAAACATCACTTTGATTCAAAAGTGCAGCCAACGGAAAATGTAGTATTATCGCCTATTAAAAACAAAATTTGCTTGACAAAACAATAAATGTAAATGCTTTTTTTTTTTTTTTGTGCAAAATTCTGCTAAGTAGTTATATATTTAATAAAATACAAATAATACACACCAACGAGGCAACGACATCCCATTGCGGAAGACCCCAAACTCCGGTAGTAGGAGGACTTTTCCAAGATCTTGTAAAAAAAGTTATTTAACCAAATTTATAATCAGATTCTGAAATTTCTTACACTACACGCTGCTAACAAAAAACTGGTATTATTTAATGTATATCAAAGTTATAGTATACAATAATGCATAACAAAACGTTTGTACCGACGAAAAATGTATCGAGCGCTTTTTCAAGCTTGTTATGTATCTGTAGATATTTATATCGTCCAACACTGTCAAGTACAAGTTGTATCAACACTATCAAATTTTAATAAATGAAATTCACTAGCTTTTATGTTTTTTTGTCTTGTTGAAAAGTATTGTAAACTTGTAACACTGTTTGTCTCTCCGTCTGTGTTACACTGATGTAATGGTGTTTTTTTTTGTTGTTGTTAAAGATTGATGTAATGATGTTGCTTAGAGTTGACTGATCACCCAAATATTTCCTATGCTCGATGTTAATTCCTCCCCTGAAACCGTTGTTTCTTATCAGCGGATATGTATTTTTTTTTTAGTCATCAAAATATCAGCGGATATGTTTAAATCTTGAAATCCAGGAGATGTTACGGTGGGATCAAACTTTTTTTTTGTTAATTATGATAACACTTTCGTCTTTACTTAATCCGAATTATATTTTCTTTTAGACTCTTTAAGTATTGCAAATGTTTTATAGATACCCTCGATATTCTCATAGAAACTACAGAATTATATAATGTTTATAGTTCGGTAAAGTGTTTTTAGTTCTTATATTGTGGAATCTCTTTTGCAATTGTATTCAAACAAATGCAAGTTTTAGATTTCTTTGCTCTAACCAGTAAAGATTTGTGTTAAAAGAAAACCAGGTAAGATTCAACATTTAACCATTCAAACCGCTGCAAGAATAGTACAATTCAATTATCGAAATAAGAAAATTAAACAATAAAGTACACGATTAACAACTGTATATATTCGTGCATCATTAAGTTGTGTAATCAACCAACAAAAAAAAGGTTATCTTCATGACACTCAGTCACACACAACCTTACTAGGCTATGTATGGACCGAAAACTTAAGGTTTTAATTGGGCCTAAGCCCTAAAATATCCACGACATCATGTCCTTGAGACCCAATCACATCAACGTTTTCAATGAGAGTTGTTACGATTCAAAGTCTTGTATCTAACTCAATCAGAGATTGGCCCTCATAAAAAGAAGAACAAAATATCTTTTATATAGTTAGTGAAAGTAGAGCAAGAAAATCATAAACAGAGAATCGGATAATTTAGGAAATTAATGAATTTGTTAATGGGTGAATAATAGAAAAGCATATCAGAATTCCAAATCTCTCACCAGTACTTTACTCTTTAGGTTCTTGTCCATTCATTACGTTCTCCTGATCAGAAATTTGATTAGTATTATTATTAATTATGTTACCAAATAAATTATGTGATATATTTTTTTCCTTTTTGTACACATCTCCAGAAACCACCAAGTCACTTTGTCAAATCATATTTTTAACGACAAAACTTTTAAAAGGCCTTCACCGTCCAATTTATGTCGGAAACATTACAAGGTTTCAGAATATTTCATCTTCGACTAATTGTGATCAAAAGACGATCGAAAAAAAGAAAAGGAAGACTCATGGAGGAAAAATAGACGATTTGAAACCTTTTCTTGCAGAATGTCATTTATATCATTAAGTACCAGCAAAAACAACTATATCAATGACTTTGTTTTCCATCAAAGGTTTACCTCTTCATTCATTAATAAAAACTGATGTGATAATGAATTTATGATAGTATATTTACCATTGTATAAAAGTGTCATTTCCATTCAGACTTGGTATTATTATTATTTTTGGAATAAAATGTAAAATTTATTCGAAAAAAACTTTTTACATCTGCAGTTTTCTAAGAGTTTTTGAATACTTTAATAAAAAAAAAAAAAGAGTGATGAGAGCTTGTTCTTTATTTTAATGCGAACCACATTGCCATACAACCTTCGTATCTTTGATCTCCAAGGTCTCGTATGGAAGAGATTTTGTTCCGGATTTGCTTGTCTATCTCCCGAATCATTTGAGTTGGTGAAATTGGAACTTCCCCATGTCTTCTTCGATTTCTTTTTTTTCCATAGCGAGTGAACTGTGATTTGAAAAATATATCTTGTCAAGAAGAGACAGTCCTTTCCCATAGCAGACTTGGTATTATTACTTGAAGTGAAATGGAAGGGACATGATTTGGCTCCATCTAATCGAGTGCTCTATTCTTTTTAGAGTTACGGATAGCTTTGAAACAACTTTTTAAAAATCATATAATTTTGTACGAATTAGAGAAGTGACAAAAATATGTGACGACTTATATAATTAATTAACTATCAAATGCGGTTTCGATTTTTTTTTGGCATGCTGTTTCATTTTGCGCTAGTTTAAGAAAGATTATTAAAATTTATATGATAGTATTAATTAAATTTAAAAGTATATATATATATATATATATATATAAGAAATCATAAACGATAATGTCATATCGAAATCGTTAATAACCTGATATTGGATAATTTCATAATATTAAATATCATACAAACATCTAAAGCAAAATAAGTACCAGCAAGGATTATATATCATGTATACAAAAATCAACGAGACGAAAATTCGAAACAAACCAAATAATATTTGGTTAGTCGACCGGTCAATAACATCTGCTACTAGTAAACCGGTTGAACCGAATTAATTAACTTTGGTTTCTCTCTGGTAATCCACCAATGCACCACGACAAAACTCACAAATTGTTGGGGTCACGTCGATGTTGACACGTGGTAAGATCCTGACGAGAGTTCAGATTCTCTGGTCTGGTGTGTGATGTCACTGAGAAAGGACACGTTGGTGGTCAAATAGCCAAAAGGACTCAGCCACGTATACATCTCCGTACAATTTTGTGAACAGAATTTTATTCATAAATATTTCCGGAAAGTAATTGGTACTGTTTTTACCGTCAAAAGACACGTGTTGCAAGGACAAGACACGTGTTCACAATTTGAACTGTGTCACGTGACCTTGAGGCAGATCATGTGATATTTGAGATTTCATCCCTATTTGGGTATTTGAGAATCTGAGAAATTTAAGTTTTTTTTTCTTTATAACCATATAAAGTAATTTTGCTAGTTGAAGACTTACGAACAAAATATTCGGATTCGATTGGCACTATATGATATTAATTTTCGACACGCGTTTAACAACTAATTTTAGTTATAACTATTCGGGATATTTTAGAATGACTCTTTGCAAAAAAAAACTTTGTTAGTGTTACTTTCCCATGCAATATTAATCATTCTATTATTAATTCTAATTGTTGGATACCAAACATTAATGTATTGTACATAGGATGAAGTACCACTCGTTAGGTATTCTATGTTTCTAATTACATTACGTTATAGATCTAATTTAACTAAAAAAAAATCTTATCATATTATTAACGATTAATAAATAAATTACTAGGTTCCATTTTTCACATACATCCATGATCCACGTTAAAAAGCGGGGGAAATATTGCTTTATAAAAGACACAAAATTTCTAAAGAAATATGGAGTTGAAATTTGTGGATAAGACCAAGAAATGGTGACTATATAAATCAAAGTTGAGTAATTAAGGGGGAATAAAGGGGGTCACGTAGTAGTCATGATCGTGGGGATCGATAATTCGATATAGTATATTTATTATTTATAAATGTTTGGTGGAATCATATATATAAGAAAAGTATTCAATTTGAAGCGTAATGAACGGTCGAGATGGATGGGGCATGCATGCATGATCCCTCATGCTTCCTTAAGAGGTGGCATTGTTATCATGTGTGATCTCGACGCGTGTACGTATACACTCTTTACGTACATCACATGCATAAGCTCCTTTACATTATTAAAACATTCTGAGAGGACAAATAATTGGTGTCCTATTAATTTAGACGCTTTAAATTGTTACAATTTGTTTTCAATCGCTTAATACATCTAATGAAGTAAGTTATCTGATTTGGATCGGAAGCAGTAACAATGAAGTTTTGTAACTATATAGTTATATACTAACAGTTGGGAATGGTATTGTGTTGATACTTGGTAGTAATATAGAGAGTGTAATCAAATTGGGAATATTATTGTGTTGTTTGGTCGAGATGCTCGATGACAAAAGGGAAGTTGTATACAGAAATCTATTATACTAATGGAAGACAAAAGATGAGAAAAAAAAAAAAAAAAGTAATAAATTGACATCTTAAAACTTGTGGCGGAGATTACCCCATTGTGGAATTTGGGGTTCACATGGTTTCTTTTCAACCTAATACCGCTCAAGAAACATTATTGCATAAAACATATGGTTAAAAAACAAAAAGATGAGTGAAAGAATGGTCCTTCAAATTAAACTAACTAAATTACAAACACTCTTTCCAACCTGTTCTTTACTGTTTCTATTTATAAGTCGCATACTATGGGCAAAAACTAACACACAAATTAAAAATTAATAGAAGTTATACTTAATCGGTCAACTGTTTGTAATCATATCTAAATATAAAAAGCAATCATTTGAAGACTTGCAAGATATAGAGATCCACCGAGAAAAAAAAACGAAGAAGATATAACACGGCAAAAAAAAATCATTTCACCTTTTTTTCTTCTTTTTAATTATATGTTTAATCCTGTTAAAAACACTTTTACTTGGCAAATGTTATAACTATACTAACAGTTGATATTAAGATATAAAAAAATCATATATACTATTTTTTTTTTCATATATACTAATTTTATCTTCGTTAAAGACATTTTCTTTGTACTAATAAATACTTATGTTGTACTAAATGTTTCCCACCGAACTCGATAATAAAAAAATGTAACCATACCATTCCACATGTGTTGCTCATCGTTGCGATGTAGTTACTTCCCCATACCTTTTTTGTTACCTCCCCATACATGAACCTTTTTTAAATCTCAAGTGACATTAGTGCAATATTTTACTTAGCTAGACTAATTTAGCCTTTCAAGTATATTGTCCATCTCCTCGATCGATCGAAATAAATAACAATGGCGCACCTACTTTTCTTAGATGTTTGAGGTTTGGCTAATCAGTTTATATATAAAGAAGGTTTGGCTAATCAGATAGTTACACTTTTGAATAGGTTTTAATTGATCAGAGACTCAGCCTCGGAGTATTGCAGCGGTTAAAATGGACACAACTTTCTTACTACATATATTTACAAGAATTTTTTTATAATAATAAAAATAGAGATATTTGGAAGAATCTTTATTCTATGGACAAATATCCCATTAAACTAGTGTTAGACAAAAAGGTATGGCTGCCAAACGTAAATGTCGAATAAATAAATATCTAAGCGAGTAGAAATCAAAAGAGAAGTAATCTACTAAAGCTTTTGAAGTCCGTCTTTCGATTGGTTTTGCATTTGCAAGTTGAGAGAAACTAATGTTTAAAGAAGCATTAATGAGTGAAAATGTATATTCATGTTCCCTATTATTATGCATATATTAAATCACTTTCAATCAAATTTGTGTGCCTTGTTTTTCCTTTTAAGTATACAATTCAGCCTCGTAAGAGCTACGACATTAGAAGATATTTTTGGTCCGTACGTAGACGATGGTTTTAATAGGTTCAGTGACTATATATGAAAACGAAGGCATCGTGTCTTGTGTGTAAAAATCTCACTATCTTCCAAATAAAGATATATAATAATTGCTTCTTTGAATCGGATGAGCTACACGTTTTTAGATATTTTGCAACCTGTCTTCTTCGTTTGATCTAGGAAACATTGATTTATATATAGAAATATGTTATTATTATTTCTCTATTATTCATTCAACATGTTAATATCACCACTCGCATTGACCATATCAATGGTTTTGATTGAAACCTAATTTTGATAAATAATTGTCAAACTTATTAATAATAAAAAAAAGAGAAACTTCATTATTATGAAAGAAAGAAAAGTGAAAAAGAAAGAACAAAGGATAAATGAGAGGTGGATTTGTTTAGGAGGATATGGAATTGCTTCCAATTTTAGCAAAGAAACATAAATGTTTTTGCCCCTTTAATATCTTTAAACGTTTTTCCAAATCTGTTCCAACATGTCTTCTTCATCCGACACATTTCTTATCCTATTCTCTATTTTTTGCTAAAATCAAACCGAAATTGGAAAATAATTTTCGAGAATTATGAAAAGATATTTTTATTTCCGATAAAAACGAATTATTAAACAATTTTATTTGTAGTTTTGTTGCTAGATAAGTGACACAATAAAATCATTTCGATGACTTAGAATCAAAAATGAGAATAATAACCAACAAATTATCAAATATCTTCGGATTATATCAAAAATAAGGGATATATGCAGAGAATAATTAAACAAATTAAGTAATAATAGGCAAACGGATAAATTAATTACAGAAACTAAAGTAATGGATTATCTATTTTGTCGTCTTTCATTGTATCTAAACTTCGACCGACTTCAGCGTATCTAATAATCCTAAAGTAATCTTATGCTCACAGTTTGGTTACTTTAAACTTCGTCAAAGTCATTTGATAAATGTTCACATCACGAAAACGTCCACGTACGTCTATCCCGTGGTAAAGTCTCAAGCCGCTGTTATACATGCTTATCTCACAGCCTTGTTACGATAACCTTGTAGTATAGATTTTAGTAGAAAAAGCAGCTCCTAGTCCTATGTCTAATAGCGTTAACCATAGTTAAATATTTTAAACCAAACCATGGTTAAGTGTTTCAACTACATAAGTAGCTTTGCCGGTGAATTACCAAACAACATCAAGAACCAAAAGAAAGAACTCTTTGGACGACAAATGTGATTTATTATTCATTTGGATTTAAAGAAGATGATGATCGGAGAAACTCGCCGGACTTATCCTACTGTTGAAATACCTCCATGGCCGGTTTCTGAAGAGCTTACGGCGTCGGAGTTTTTTTCTCCGGTGATGAATAGTCCAGATTGTAGCATGCTTGAAGCTTTGGCGGCGTTGCAGCGTTATCTTCCGTCTAACGAACCGGATCCAGATTCTGACCCGGATCTATTGGGTCCGGATTCACCAATCGATGCTTACTCATGTGACCATTTCCGTATGTACGATTTCAAAGTTCGGAGGTGTGCTCGTGGCCGGAGTCATGATTGGACGGAGTGTCCGTACGCTCATCCCGGAGAAAAAGCTCGCCGGAGAGATCCGAGGAAGTACCATTACTCCGGTACGGCTTGTCCTGATTTTCGCAAAGGTGGTTGCAAGAAAGGTGATTCTTGTGAGTTCGCTCATGGAGTTTTCGAGTGTTGGCTTCATCCAGCTCGTTACCGTACTCAGCCGTGTAAAGACGGTGGTAACTGTCGCCGGAAAGTTTGTTTCTTTGCTCATTCACCGGATCAGTTGAGGTTTTTACCGAGTCGGAGCCCCGATCGGGTTGATTCGTTCGACGTTTCGTCTCCTATTCGTGCTAGAGCGTTACAGCTCTCGATTTCGCCGGTTTCTGGTTCGCCGCCGATTAGTCCAAGAGCGGACTCGGAGTCTTCTCCGATGACTCAGTCACTGAGTCGATCTCTCGGGTCTTGTTCGATAAACGACGTCGTTCCTTCGTTTAGGAACTTACAGTTTAATAAGGTAAAATCATTTCCTCATAACAATCCTTTATTCGGATTCGGGTCGCCCCGTGGATCGATTTTGGGTCCTGGGTTTCAGTCTCTGCCTACGACACCGACCCGACCCGGAAATCTGGATATTTGGGACTATGGGTTAGAGGAAGAGCTTGTAATGGAGCGGGTCGTTGAGTCGGGTCGTGAGCTACGAGAAAAGATGCGCGAGAAACTACACAAGGAGAATTGCATGGATCGGGTTGACCCGGAACCGGATCAGAAGTCGGGTGATGCTCCTGATGTCGGGTGGGTTTCTGACCTGCTGATGTAAAGAATAAAACCCGACTCGTATTTTGAAGTCTCATTGGTTTTTTTGGGATATCTTCCGAGGAAAAGAGGAGAAGAGATCTTAGTGTGTTCATATTATTTTATTTACTAATTTCGTATTTATCTGCTAATAATAATTAAATATGGATTTTTGGGTCCTGATTTTTCTGAGAAAATCGTTGTATAGATGTGCCTTAGGGTTTTAATTATGGAACATTAATATATATTATTAATATCTATCGTGTTTTATAAGGCTATATTGTTAAATGTAACCACTTGGTACTAATCTATGAATGCAAAATATTTATCTAAAATTTGTTGTGTTTCCACTTTCCCTACTTTTTCTTGATCCAATATATATATCTTTGTTGTGGAGTATTGTTATTAATGAAGTTTTGATGATCTGGTTAACGTCGAAATCTCGTGTTAGGAGTTTGAGAGACTGTTAAATGTTTGAATGGGTCAAATCCAAATGAGTTCATACCTTATAAGGTTCAAGTAATGACTTACCAAAGTTATTAAAAAAAACTTGAAACCAATAAAAGACTTGTTCCATGGTTTTAGTAGCGCTTGGGGGAATCATTCGATTGTGACTTTATCCAATACGATTTGGCAATAGCATCGATAAGAAAATGACATTGACCAATACGAGATCATTTGCAATCGCGAAGAAAAGTCGGGTGTGTAACTAAACCGGTACCAATGTTGTTTTGATAACCGGAGATCCGAACCGATCTAGACAACAATCAAAGAATGTTTGAGGGCAAAACTGAGTAATCAGGTTGCCATTTTTTGCGTCATGCCATTTTAATAAATATTAGTTTGTTTTGTTGAACAGTAAATTACTTACCGTGTAATGTTTAGGGAGAAATGAGTAATCGTGTTAATCGAGTTAGATTTTTTTTTTGGTTTATATGTCAACGGACAACAGCTAAAAACGTTCTTAATCATGTTCATTGAAAAAATTTGATTTTTGACATTTGGAATATTTGTTATCATTAGAGTTTTCGGGAGAGTTACGGCAAAAGCCAATATAAAATTAATTTTTTTGCCAATATACAAACTATACTATTTTACTAATGACAAAAAAGACATGTGGGTCCGAAATTAGGTTACCACAATTACTATACTTTGAAGAAACATAAATGTATAATTAAATGCAATATGAATGTACATACAGATAGTTTTATATGGGGAAACGGCCAAATCTGTAATTACGGAATTAATAGATTTGTGTAGGGTGATTAGCCCACAAACTTGAGCGTAAGGTCAAAAAGAAGAAACCTAATTATAAAGGAATTTAGGCTTTGATCACCACCGTAGAGTAATTTTTAACTTATAAATGAATTTAACTCCGGATTCATTTTCACCAGTCAGAAAAATTGAGGAAATTTCTTTTTGCTGAAAAAGTAAAAGAAGAGTCAGTTCGTAATAACTCTGTTTTGTCCTCTTAAGCATTTTTCTGCTCCATCGGTTTAAATGAAAACAAAAACATATACAAATTGTTTTTTTTTTTCTTACAATTTTAATGTTTTCGTGGTAACAAAGTTTCTTAAAAGAAAACAAAAACAAATGAATATTTAAACCAAAAGAACCAAATTAAATCAATATATGATCTTCAAAATAAACACAAAAGCAAAAAGAGAACGAAACATAAATGATGAATCAAAATAAATTTTTAGCGACAAAAAAAAATGAAGAATCAAACCTTTGAGTTATTTCTCACACTACCTTGCCATTGGACCAAACGTGGAGTAATCTCCAAAAGTAAGCGAAACCGATCCAGACGAGCTATTATATTCATTGCTGCTATAATTCTGAATCGTCGACTCCGTCTTCGTGTACTTCTCTTTCACTACTTTCTTCTCATGATGGCTCCCTGGTTCACGAGCCAGCTCGGCGGCTAAGCACTGTTTCAGATCAGACACGATCTGGTTCGTTGATGGTCTGTTGGTTCCTCTGTCTCTGACGCAAGACATTGCCACTTCTACAAATTTCCAAGCCGAGTTTGAGGAGAACTCGCCGTGAAGCCGTGAATCCACGACGCCATCTATGTCTCCGATTTTGAGGAAAGGCTCCACGTAGTGGACAACGCTCATTTTTTCTCCATCGTCAGTTTTCATGATTGATCTCCTTCCGGTTATGAGTTCAAGGAGGACGATCCCGAAGCTGTAAACGTCGCTCTTCTCGTTTAGCTTAAACGTGTTGTAGTACCTATTTCGAAACCGGTTTATGATGAGACCAACCTGACCAAAATGGTAGAGATTAAAGTGGTGATGTGTAAAGGAAACTTACTCAGGATCGACATAGCCAGGAGTGCCCATGACAGCAGTCATGACGTGGCTGAGATCATCCTCGGGGAAGACCTTAGAAAGCCCGAAATCAGCGATCTTGGCTTCCAAGTTATCGTTTAATAGAATGTTTGCTGTTTTAACGTCTCTGTGTACTATTGGTGGCCTGCATCCATGATGTAGATACTCCAACCCTGCCAAGGAAAACAAATCAAAAAGGGGATTCACAACCAGACTAAACCGGTTTGATAACTCTGAAAATTTCGGGATGTCAAAACTGGGACCAACCTTGTGCAGAGTCTATGGCTATATGGAGTCTCTTTTCCCAGCTAAGATCCTCTGCATTCTCACCTGCATATCCGTAAACAAAACATTCGTTAGCTCAAAGGCAGCAAAAACAGGCAATAGAGAGATCAAGAGAGATGAAGAATACTTGAAAGATAATCTTGCAAGTTGCCATTTGCCATGTACTCGTAGATGAGAGCCATACTACGACCATCATCGCAGTATCCAACAAATGAAGCTAAGTTCCGGTGATGCACTGTCAAAAGAAGCTCCGCCTGCATACATTTTACACTTGAGCCACCATAAAACAACCTTGTCTAATTTATCAGATCAATGTTTCTAGTGTTCTTTAGATTACCTCGACTTGGAATTCTTTGGAAACATGGGATGATGATGATGACGATGATCCTTTAGATTTTCCAAATGAAGAATCGTTGATCATCTTTACAGCAATTTCAGTTCCATCTTCAAGGGAACCGAGGTACACAATACCAAACCCTCCTTTACCGATCACTTTATTGAAGTTGTTTGTAATGCTAGAGACTTCACTATATGTGAACCTTCTCTTTCCCGAAGGCAGAAGTGGTCCTGAATAGACTCCTGAATACACTAGGAAATTAAACACTCGTCTTCTTTCAGCATTAATTCTGACTTTAAACGTAAATCTAAGTAAAAGACACACTGTGCTTACTTATTTTGCTTTCCCTTCGCATGATGCATATGATAGCCAAGGCGGCAATGAGAATAATCACTAATGTGGATACAACAATTGGCACCATGATTCTGTTCCCGTCCCGACATGAACGTGAGTGACAAATGTTTTGTTCATCGACACTGGAGACAAAGAGGAAATCAATAAGCTTTTGAAAATGGTAGAGACGTGGATTATCTTAACAAGATGACTATGGTTCCGTGTACCTGAGTGCAAGTCCATTAGCCGTTGATCTTTTCCTAAGAGATCTTGGGATAAACCCAGTCAAGTTATTTCCTTTCAAATTCCTGTCACACAAAAATTAATGTCAGAGACAAACTACTATTGATTGTCTGTCAGTATACACTCAATGAAGTCTCTATGTGCTCAACTCACAGGAACTTCAGATATTTTAGATCAGCCAAAAACTCCGGTACATTTCCTCTGAGGTTGTTGTTTGATAAATCCCTGGGAAAACAATGCACACCACTCTTATAGTTACTGGGAATAAAGTGGTGGCAAGTGTCAATGTGTTTGTATACTTACAATGACTCAAGAAGGGAGAGATTTCTAAATGAGAAGGCTATTGGTCCATGTAATCCACTTGAACTAAGATTCCTTCTCGCAGCAAAATACAGAAACAAGCTCATCAGCAAAAATTATCCTTGAGGGATATTACAGAAACAAGCTCATCAGCAACACTTTTGCTTGGGGGAAATTACCGAAACAAGCTCATCAGCAACACTTTTGCTTGGGGGAAATTACAAAATGTGTTTTTCAGGTTGAAATGAATGAGTGACTTACAAGGACTTGATTTGATAATTAGAAGTGTTGTAGCTGCATCCAATACCTTCCCAAGGGAAGAGTCTGGGAGAGCAAGGATCACCAGTCCAAATCTTATTCACTTTATACGTTGCTTTTATGCTTTCTATGGCTTTAACTGCATTAACAAGAGAGAATGGAAAACTGTGAGTTTCAGCGAAAATTAAAGTCCAGAAATCATACAAATTATACGTAGTCGACTAACAAAGTAAAGATGAACACACCGTCGTCAATTGTGGTGGAAAATTCATCCAGAGATTGTGCTGTAAATATCTCAATAGCATTGAGTATTGGTGGACGTGTTGAATCTGCGGTCTTCTGAACAGAAATCCAGTGATCTTTACCAGTGAAAGCTCGCGAATTAGACACTGTCATCGAATACTCAGAAGATGGATTGAAAGCTCCTGAAACAGGCGACCCATTCCAGAAGATCTTGATTTTTCTGCTCTCATTCCTCTTGAGATTTTCGAGTTCTGCAAAATAAAGGTACGCATAGAACCGGGTATCTGGATCGCCTGATGTCCAGGACAATTCCAATGGTTCATCATCACTTTTAGGCAAAGCAGCTGTCTTAATAACTTCATCTGGTGGTCTATAACCAGACTGAAAAATGTCGATATACCCAGTAGTCATCGTTGAATTCCAAGAGACTGGAGAGTAAGGAGACCAAATACGATCATATGTATCCTTCTGGTACCGTCCTGTTCCATTCAAATATCCTGTATCCCATCTTTGATAGAGTACCAATGAGACATTTCTTCCAAACTCAGTACCATAGATTGAGCTGTTCATTGGCCGGAGCTCCAAAGCTGAAATAAAAGGAGTTCCTTTACCTTTGTTCACAAGGCAAACATATATTGTATCTGACTCTGCAAAGCTGAGGATCTCCTTGATGACGTTCTCAGAAGCATTTCCGAATTTCACTGAGGTCCAGAAATTCACGTTTACGTAGAGATCAAACTCAGGCAAAGCTTTTTTACCATCGTAGTTTCCATACATAAACGAAGCTCTGATGAGATAAAGATTCCCTTTTCCATCGGAGGGGGTTAAGGAGTAACAGTTCCTGTTTCCTTGAGGAAAAGATCTGACATCAGCAAGTGGGAAAGGCAAAACCGGGTTTTTCGGGTAACCATATTCTTCAGAGACGTTCACATTAACTCCAGCGTTTATAAAAGGTGCATCCCAGGTGTAACTGATACCAGTATCAGTGTCTACATAGTTTATATTAGGGGGTGACCCACAATCTATGCTGATGAAACCTGAATCAGAAGAAGGTAAAGGATTTTGATTAATTCTGTAACTGTTGAGAATGTTTTGATCAAAATTCCTAGACATTTAAAATCTACCGAATGTTCTCAAATTTTAGAACGTGAAGTATTCAAATCATAGAAACAGACATGGACCTCGCTTATCATGTCAAACCAATAATCAGAATGCGGTTCTAGCCAAAATGTATAACCCCATGATCTAAAGAAACTTCATTTTGTAATATCAACAAAAAATATCACTTCAAAAATATTTGGTCTGAACAGACACAAAAAGAGGAAAATAAGCGAGAATGAGATTCACAAACCTGCTTGGCCTTGGCCATGAACTACAATGGCAGTGGCTATGACGCCAAAAAGGATGAGAAAAACAAAGTCAGCTCCCATGTTCTTCTTCTTTTGTAAAGCTCAGCTCATCACCGTCAGAAAAACAGACAACCTGCGATTAAGATAACACAAAAACACAAAATACCCGAACGTACAAAGTCTATGCCCATTTCCTTTTCTGGGAGCACCAAAGTACAGTGGTGGTGCTCACGTTTGAAAAAAGCGGCCAAGAAAGTATATAAAAATTGTAATACAGCTGTCAACAAATAATCTGTGGGTCAACAACTAACCATGATATATAACTTCAATAAATTATTTTTAAAAAGGACATGGCCAACATTGGACACAGCCGACACCCGACAGATACATCGAAATTCAGAGGCAGTAAGCATCTTATCTGACCACAAAACTGTGGTCAAATAGAATAACAGACCATTGCAACCTTTAGGACTACTGATAAAGAACCAGAAACTTTAAGCTATAGTGTCTTTAACTGTTATGCTAGAGAGTTTTAGAACTAAGCTTCATCTTCTACTAGCTGCCTTGCAGTATCATCTTCATGTGATGAGCTCAACGGGAATGAAGATAACTCAATGTAATCAAAGTCCTCAGTGATTCCGGCCTAAAATATAACCCAACTGAATTAGTCTCTCCTTGATGTAAGAGAAGGTGAAATGTGGAATCGATAGCATTTAAAGTGAAAAGATCTGAAAGATACCTCCGTGTATAGATGTTCTAGCTGTTCCTTGGCCTGGGGGAAGTTGTTTGAACACCATTGTTTCAATGTGAAGATGTTATCTGAGTAAGTTTGAATGAATTACAATTTAGGCTGCGGTGAAAATTATGAGCTTTTTAAAACTGAAAGCATATTCCCAAGTTTTAGAAATGAAAAACCTGTCCATCTGTTAGCCGACTGGTGAGCAACTTCAATTGCTTTCCCTGTCAAATTAGAAAAAATACACATTGATACAGCTAGTAAAGCACAAGACTGGTTCTTATTTCTGCTCCACGAAGACCAGGAAAACCATAGGAGATCTAACAGAGAACAAAAGTAACTTATTATGCAGAACTTAACTAATTGCTTCCAAAGTAGCTGGATCATTGTCAGCAAATTGTACCATCTCGTTCTGCTTAAGAAGAAGAAATTGTTAGCAAATTGTTAAGCATGTAAATACATCTATGCAAACAGATAGTCTATATAATCCGACCTTCAGCTCTCTGTGTTTCTTTTCAATATCTTTAAGTTGCGTCAAGGCCTCTGTTCGTTCCTCCTGCAGCAAGAACAGCAATTCTGGTGAAAACAGCATGTAAGCTTATTCAAGCATTAATTCTGCAATACTTAAAATACTTACCGATTCTTCCCTTCCCTTCTTTAGGGCCTCACACTGATCAACAAGTTCTGCTAGCCTTTTGTTACTACCCTGAAGATCAGATTCAAGTTTCTGACGAATACTCCTAAGCTGTTCATTCAGAATAGTTGAAGCATGATCAGAATCTGTAACTCTTATTAGAATCAAATTAATGTATATCTATATTGATGTCATATCAGGATAAGAATGGTGTGACTCACTTGATTGCCAGCACAGCTGGGAAGGCTCCAAAAGTAGATCTTCATTTGCAAAATAATGAACACCGTCAAACGACATATAACAGCAACAAGGACTATATGGAAATAAATAAAATAAAGATCCAACATAGGAACACTAGCTACTCACAGAAATTCCAATCTTGTCTTTCGCGACAAGATCATCATCGACTAAACTCTGGATAACATCTTTCACAGACTGACTAATTACACCCCTCTTCGGTCCCATCTTCTCTAGTTCCTTTAGCTGAAAAAGTTTACAGAAGTAGAGACCCATAAGTGTTGGTATCACAACCCCAAAAGTTCAATAGCAAAAATTTTAGGCAGTATATGCACTTCAACACTCTAGATATCAGGTCACTTGGTAGGTAAAGCTAGTTCAAAGGCGTCAAAAATTTAACAAGTAGTAAAAACTAAAGAAAGTGCTCACTAGGAAGAAGTCTTGAGACTCATAGAATATCTGAAGCATCTTCTCCCGCTTCTCCTCCAGCGAAAGCCCCCGTTTCTTTGACTGAATATCATCAATAATAGAAAGTAACAATTCATTTCAAACGAGAAATTAGTTTAAGAAAATTTACAAAATCTTCAGAGCTTGAATGAAGAAATCCAACAAATGATCTGTCAACAAATTGTTTCTATGTCGAAAATGTCAAAAATCCAAATAGTCAATTCAGCGACTACACTGATTGCGAAAATCGGCTACTAGATATATGCAAATTCGAGAAACCTATAGCTTCGCGTCGTGCAGTCCAAGTGTTTGCGGAAATACCTCAAACAAATTTGCAAAGAGCTACGGAAGATGGAAACATTGCAATCGACCCAAACTACGACAAGTTCAAACAAAGTTTCGCGAAGAGGAATAGAAAACACATCGGTGACTACTAAACATTCAAACAAATAAGTCGAATCAAACATCAAAAATCTCTTGTAAGCCGAAGAATCACAAGCTAAGCTCATTAGTAGTGCACGATAATCACGATTCATAGAATCACGGAGGATAATCACTCGATCTTCCCAGAAATATTGCACAAATCACAGAGGTTCACTAGCGAAACAAAATCACAAGTAGAGTAGAACAATCGTCCAGAGTATATTTACCATAGTGATCTCTTGTTTCTGATGATGCAATCCAAAGGATTTCAAACTCTGCTACACCTCTCTCTCTCTCTCTCTCACTATCGTCTCCTTTCTCTATCAAATTTGAGATGAGAATTGTTGAAGAAGACTTGAAAACTTAAGCGGGTTATTTATCCCTCGCTTTCTGTTTCATTTTTTGTTCCAATTAATTTGAATTAAACCTTAAAACGACACGGTGTGCAGTTTTAAGATACCAAAACGGCATGATCTTTGTTGAAGCAGTGAAGTCAACGTGTGGTTGACTATTGAAGAATAGATGAGTATAGCTTATTATTATTAATCAAAGGGAAAAGTGTCATAAAAGATACAAAAATTACAAAAGATAAATTATGTGAAGAACACTCAAATGCAGATAACATTAATGAAGATAAAAGTTGCTCTGATTTAATCTGATTCAGATCCTTATATACATCGTCTGTTCTTGTTTATCAATGCATACATGTCTCTGCTCGGAGAGGTAAATAACCTGCAGTTATTAAACCAAGCCAGTTGCAAAAGTAATTACATTAAAAATCCATAGTCTGTGAGGAAATTGCTTGATTGAGAAGTGAAGTGACCTTAGAGGGCCATCTCAGCCTGTAATGCAGCGAGTTCTTCTTCCTCAGCAGTCCGCTTCTGGGGAACAGGACGGGCGGGTTGACGCCCTGCAGGCACGGGAACTGAAGGCAATGGAGCGGTTGTTGCCGGCTGTAGAAGTTGATTTTCAAGCTCTTCACTTTCTAAATCTTCAAGCTCTTTTTCAAGATCATCCTATCAAAGAGAATTTTTCCTTAGACAAAGATCATTTGCTGAAAAAGATATGATCATGTGGGGTACAAGAAAAGTTACCTCATCGAAGTCAGCCGCTGCCCCGATTGGAGTCGCCAATGCTTCTTGGATCTGTTTCATGTTCTCGGTCTGCTCATTGATCTCGTCCATGGTCTTGTCCACATCATCAATATTTCTGCAAAACAGTGTATTTTTTTAGTTAGGCAGGCACTAGAAACGTTAAAGCATTCAAGCATAAATAGAAAAGCATAAGAAAGATGATGCAGTTTGAAAACCAAGCTCGTGTTAACGAATCCCAGAACCGATGACAATTATGGTGAAAATGTGATAAACACTTACGTTGCTTTCTGCATTGCTTTCATAGCAGAAGCTCCACTCCTTAATGCATCAACAGTTTCGGTTGTTGCTTTCGCGCCTTCTAACATAATCATCTGTATGAAAAAAGATCCCGTTAAATTCATCTATTACTGCTGAAATTAACAATCTTCGAAGAACAGAAATAAATAAATAAAAAAACTTACTTGGTCATGTATACGGAGCTGGAAATTCCCAAGCTGTTCAACTTGTTGCTCATATAACCTCTTCCTTTTCAAACACTGTATAGCCGCTGCACAAAACCAATACGGTTCAAGTACTCCAGTAATTAGCAACACACATGAGTCATAACAAATCAGGACGTACCTCGTTTGTTCTTTGCCCGGGTGTATTCTTTTGCCTTGTCAACCTCTTGACCAGCTTTCTTCAAGAGTACTTTCTCCTTTTTCTCTAGCATCTCAAGCGTCTACAATGAACAAACATTACAAATAAGCAACAACCATTTGGGAAAAGTAGAGAAATTGAGAGAACAAATAAACAAAATTTTGATATGGTTTAAAGCAAACGATCATATAGATTTCGACTATAGTGTCCATCCAATATGAATCGTTTGAGTATTAACTATAAACGAGAATCGGATATAAAGTAATGTCTTTTGGTGATTAAAGTTTAAGATTAAACAAACAGTACAGAGATGAGTAAACAGAAAGATCGATTTTTTTCAGATCGAACGTAAATTGAGACAGAGAAGAAGCGAAAATCGAAATGATGATACCTCGTTAAGCTTGTCTAGAGTTTGGAGAGCATTAGACTCTTGTTTGGGTTTCCCGAATAGCCGATTCATCATGTTGTTGCTCACAAATCACCCACTTCGATCTCGTCTACCGAAACCGACACGATCACAAGTCACTAAACAATTCCGTGAAAAATTGAACCGATCGATCGAATAAACTACGTGGAAGATTCAAGTTCTCGTAAGAATCAGATCAAAATACCTGAGCAAGTCTGAATTGGAGATGGGGAAGATCAATTTTATAGGGTGACGAAAAATAATGGAAAAAACTTGTTTTGGTTTTTTTGTTTGTTATTTCGCGTTTTGTGTTCACAGAGAAGGATTAAGACCGAAGGAAGCAACTTTCCTTTTTCCTTCCACACGCGTTGATGTTTACACGTGTTTACTTTTAAGTGGTTGTCTACGATCAGTCTCTTGCCTACGTTGTAGGCGATAATATTGGTTTTGGTACACTGAACCGAACTTCAATCATATTAAACCCGAACCAATAATTGTTTACTTACCGATAAAAAAACTCGGATAATTTGATTTAAGCTAATAAAAATGTGTTGTTCAAAAAAAAAAAACCCAATAAAAATGTAAAAATTAAAAAACCTTACATAGAAATAGAAATAGAACATGTAGCAAACAAGAAACAACAATTTTAAATTTGGTCAGTCAAATTTAGATAACTATAAGAATATCAAATCAAACTATATAAAATTAATAACATTACTCCCCTAATTAAAAGACTAAACGGGTAATAATTATGGAAATAAGAATCACCAATGCATCCTACGCCTCTCGATATTCCCGACCACAGCTTCTCTGACACCCGAACACGACGGTCTCTGCATCCTAACACCACCACCGCCGCCGATGCTCCTCCTCCATCCGCCGCCGGAAGCATTACTCTCTGGTCTCTGTCTCGGTGCACTATGCGACCTCAGTTTCGCCCGAAACGACGTTGTATCCGCCATGTAACCCGAGTTAAATTCCCCGGACAAGAAACAGAACCGGTGAGCATCAGCCTCCGTATCAACCTCCGCCTCTCCTCCCCCGCCAGAGCAGCATACACTCCTCGCCGGAGACCCACCGGAGAAACGAGGTGTGCTCTGCGCCGTCGGGAACTTGCTACTGCACTCTTCCCAATCAGGTTTAGGCATTGATAGACGCGGTGGGACACGACCCGAGAGCGGTGAAGAGAGCGTACGTCGAAACGGGTTGTCTAAGAAATCCGACCCGGTTAAAACGGGTGCTCGGATCCTATAAGTCCCGGGTCGGGTCCCTGTATCTACCTCCACTATCTTAGCTGTCTCTTCGCCGTTGTTTCGATTTTCCAAAGATCCGGAGAATCTTTCCTGTAAAAAGTTACATCAACACTTTTACAGCCTGGTTAAAAAGTTATGATTACAAACTAGTTTAAGAAGATTTCAACTTTTTACATAAAGGTTAAACAGTTTCAATCTTTTTACAAATTCGCTAAAAAGTTTAAATATCTTTACAAGATTAGTTAAAAAGTTTTTATTTTCTTGTAACCCGATAAATATTAAGAAAATCATCTCTATGTTTGATGTATCAAATTATGGAACTCTAATCCGATTTGAGAGCTGAGTTTACTTAAAATTTTTAAAATTCTCGGTACGGTCAAACCGGAAAATTAAGTGTTAGTGTGTTACCGTGGATTTTCTCGCCGGAGCAGCATTTCCGATACGGCGGAGAGCTCTCTGAAACTTAACAGTAGCCTGAGCTCTAACAAGTGCCTCCATACTCCGGAGAGTCGCCGCCGCTTGTTTCCGTACCAAAAAACCTCTCACTAAAGCTTGAATCTTCACCACTCCTCTCAACGCTCTCAACGCTTTTCTCGCCTTTTACGTTACAAAATATAACGGCTCATTTAACTTAAATATTTGAAAAATGATTAGGAAAAAATTAAAATTATAAATTGCAAATTGTTAGTACCAAGTAGCCTCTAAAGGCACACTGGATCTGCATAGCGGCACGATTCTCACGGCATTTTCCACCTCCTAACGGACCACTCTTTCCTTGACCTTGGAGCCTAACAACCGCAGCAGCCGCTTTAGCCGCTGCAACAGCTGCGTCAGCTGCAGCAGCTGTGGCCGCAGCAACAGCAATTGCATGCGTTCTACGCTCTTTCTCTTCCTCTCCAGCCGCGTAAAACGACCTTAACCACGCAGCTTCTTTCTCGGAGATGTTAGGTGGTATCGTCTCGTAGCTGTCGCATAAAGAGCGGTCAAGGCGGTTGGAAATGGCGCCGGAGTCGGTGCCGGAACATGAAGAAGGTTTGATTCCGAACAAACCCTTGAACCACCTCGTTGCTCGACCCATTTTTGTCTCTCTCTTTACTCTGTGGTCAATTTTGTGAGATTCTTTCTCGTAATGGTTTTAGTTTGGTTTCACTTGTAAATACAATTTGATTTTAGTCTATTTTTTATTTGACCAAATAAAAAGAGTCTTTTTTTTTAATTTACAAATATGTAAATAAATAAAAATGAAAGATACGACGAAATATGCGTACGATTGGTCGTGATAGGGTCCATATATTAGTGTTTTATACTTTAACGTATAGTGATAAAGGTTATTCGTAATTTAGGTTCTATTTTTGTTTTTATTGTATATGGAAATTTAGGGATTACAAATTCATTAGAAAATACGTTCATCTATATATACATTTTTGAAGTATATTTAGCAAATAAATCCTGGAGTTGAGAAGTATTTACGAAACCATGCCACTGCATTTATTATTTAGATTTATTTAATTTAAGTTAAGATATTACAATCAAAATCGTTAGCAAACAATTTTCCAAAAAATCGAGATAAAATCTTCCATCATATCTCAACAATGATCATTTTTTCTCCATTTAAATTAAAATTTCCAAATAGGGTTATATGGTGAGACGGGTTTGAGTTTATATTTATATGGGACGGTATATCACGGGTGAAATCCTAGAATTGAAAATCAAAATACAATTATACAATTATAAACACTAAAAAAATATAATATTAACAAAACAAATACAACTTAAAATTTAAAACTTTTAGTATAAAAAATCGATCCGCGGTATAATATAAACATATATAAGTACGTTTAAATCAAACAAAACAATAAATTATATGTATAGATAATCTTTAACAAAAAAAAAAATCGGTTTTCTAAAAAAAATATAGCCCCGCGGTATACCGCGGGTTAAACTCTAGTTGTTTATGTAATGCGTGCTATTCATATGCCTGTGTGAGAAAATTCGATTTTATCGTTTGGTATGAATTTGACCATTTTCAGTTTCCATAAAATTTAGTTAACGTTACATAGACAATTTCTTGATTCATAATTCCGAAAAAAAAAATCTGGATTTCTTGGAAATATAATAAAAAAGAACAGATTAAGGAATTAGTTCGGCCAAAAAAAATAAGATTACGGATTTAGAAGTGAACAAATAGCTGAAAATAAAAAGAATAAAAAAAATTGAAGTAACGAGAATTTCAAGATAGCTATGATGGATAGGTGCTTTCCATTTTCTGCAAACTTTTTATCTGGCAGAAGTTGTTTGCGTAATCATATTGACATTCCCATGCAATTATCCTTTTTTTTAATTAGATCAAGAAATTTATTTTGGTTTCTATAAAAAAGAAAAAGAAAATTAATAAGAGAGGAGGAACTGAAGTCTGAAGATGAATCTCTCTAACTGTGTTGATAATTTTTTTTTCCGTTTCCGTAACGTATATATATTGAATAGAAAAAGTTTACAAAGTCTTGAATTAAACAACTGCTTAACACTGTACTTTTTGCTTGTAATATATTTTCTTATACATTATGAAGTGTTGTCTACTGTTTCTACATATTATGCTCTATGTATATGCATTGGAAATCCAACTTCATTAACTTTTTATAAAGTTCTGATAAAAGGGGAAAATTGGCAGTAAAAAACAGTGAAAAGGAGAACGTAACGTTCTTGGCCGCCTTATAAGCAAAAAATGATGATATTAAATTATATATATGTAGTTTATACTATAACTCAAAATGTTTCGTAGTAGAAAAATTTGTTGTATGATAAATAAATAATCTTTAGAAAGAAACGTTTGTTCATGAACTAGATTATCATTCCACAGTAAACGTTATGCGGCGGTGTGATAATGTTATTATCTATTACAAAACTTATTTAGCATAGTCCAAAACTCCAAACTATATGTAGTCCAAATCATTGCATATATCATCTGAAATTAATTATGAACTCTTGTGGGAAATAAAAGATAAAAAAGTAATTCTATATTAGATAAAAGTAAAACAGATCTTGCAGGCAGAGATTCCAACTCATTGGAGCCCTAACAAGTCAATTTTTTAGTTCACAGGCTTTGTCATTTTCTCTACCCAAAAACTCTGTAAATTTGTAAAGTTGAAAACGAAATTTCTTGATAGTTGAAACCAACCCATTTAATTTTTATTTTAAGATTATAGCAAAAGGAATATTTGTCTTATCAATTTTATCATCTTCTTTTATTATGCGCCTAGTTCTATTCATCACTCAGTGGAGATCGGTAATTTAACAATTAGCTAGATATATACAAAAGAAAAGAAATGTTATTTGAAAAGTTAGATGAAGAAGAGAATCTAGAGTGAGGTCACGTATCTCTTATGTGTTTATGGAACTAAAAAGTCTTCGGCCATTTGAATTTGACAACAATCTCTTTCCCTTGCGGTCCTTCTTCTTCAATTCGCCGTACACTTGTTCGTCGTTTTTATCTTCTATACGATTTTATTATCTCAAGATTTTCAATTATTGGGTACCTTGTTTTTGCACGTGAACTTTTTATGCTTTTGGGATCATCAAGGTGGTTCTTTTGGTAATTTTAACTGGATTGATCCAAATCCATTTTGCAGGTTTTGGGACTCAATTTATTTTGATCCCAAAAGAAAAAAACAAGAATTGGCGTGGGCTTGGGTCCAAGACTATTACTGTATATTTTCCTCCACATGGCCTCTTAGAGCTATACACTGTGGGCTTTTCATTCATTAAAGTAGGCCCATTTTCAACTTACATGAATAGTAAAAGTTAAAATTCGTCTGGCCTAGGTAAGTGAGTCCTTGAAATGGGCCGATTCATTCTTAAGATTTCTTACTAAATCACTTACATGGCGACTAATTTATTTATCGATGTATTATTGTTAGGTTTGTACTGTTAGGCCATGTTTATGCATTTAAAAACCATGGAACAAAACATTTATGTGGAACAATGGTCTTGGGTATATATCCTTCAGACATCATAATCTGAAGAAACGAAACTCTTAATCTTTGAAGAAACATCACATGATCAAAGAAGTGACCAACATAGACTGTAATTAACCAATTTATACTTTTATGGTCCTTGAATCGGTTTTGTTTCTAGGTTGAGCAGGTTTCTGGTTCACATTATATTGTAGGTATTTAGTTTTTTTGTTCTTCTCATGTTTGATGTTGGACCTACAGTGGAGTGAGAGAGATAAAGATCCAAATGCAATCTAACTCTAAACATATTGAAACGAAAAAAACAGATGCATATTCATATGTATCATAATCGATAATTTGCTTATTTTACCCTCAAGGGTTAAACCGTGCTGGTCAAATAATTAAGGAGAGTCAAGTTATTGGGGTCTACATATTTCAAAATCAAGACATGTGAACTGAGGAAAGAAAGAACAAAAGGTCTGGTGAAAAAGCCCTAAAAAGAGCAAGGAAAGGGAAACATGTGGAGAAAAAAGTGTCCCACAGGCAAGTCATGTGTTAATAAATCAAACTTATGACATCTTCTTAATATACATAGATATATTTTATATTAATATCATATATATACATGCAACTTGCAATATGTACGTAGCTATATAATATTTAGTATGTCAATCTAAGTTAATTATAATTTATAAATTCAGAACAAGAACATGTTGGGTCGGTACCTCATATTTTTTTATCACTTCAGAATTTTTGTGGTAGATATACAAGTTCCAGATTTTGATATATGAATTATCGCACTAAACGTATAGTACTGATCATGAATTCGAATGTATGATATGATGAGCGTTTAATTATCTTTATGAAAGTCTAGATTGAATTTGATATGACGTATGCATGGAAATGATATGCAAGTCAATCTACATATATCACTGTTATGTCATATATTATCATACTTTTTCATTTTTTAAACCTAAGAGGTCCATAACACACAAGAACATGTTTGAATCATGATTGAACTACTCTCAAGATTTTGTCTAGGATAACCTTTGCCTGAAAGTACGATCACCAATTGCAACTTAAATCTCTTAAAAGTTTGAAATGTTAGGTAATATATAATTTTGTGGAGTAGATTTTCTTAAAATGGGTTTATGTCACCTATTTATTATTTATTTTTGGGAATTATAGGACAAAGATGGGTATAAGATTGTGAAAGTGTTGGTTACAAGGTGGACAAATAAATTAGGGCATTCACCAAAACATGCTTGTGTAGGCTCCCATGTATGTGCATGTGTTTTGGTCTCTCATGGCATGGTGGTTTGGTTTATGTCCTTTCATTTTTTATTGATAATTTCATTTTTTTTTAATGATAATTTCATTTTGTATTATGTGTTTTTGTTTGTGGTCTTGTTATCACATGTTTGTCCACTATTGGCTATAAATTGGTATGGATTGTTACCATAAATGGAACCCATGTGACATGAAAAGATAGTTTTTGCTTATGGTCATGCACATATAGATACACTCATATATATATATATATATATATATATATATATATATATTCTATAGTTTTGAGTGGCTTGATATTTATCAATAATTATCTGATCTACTAAGAAAGATAAGCTATAATATAACTTTGACTTATAGATACATTATTTTTTTGTCGAAAGACTTATAGTACATTAATATACATATATCCTATTTGTAATATATGTTCAAAAATCAAAATAGCATCCACCAAGGTTCTTAGATGGATTTATCCCCAATCAAATTAATAAATAGTTGCATATTAGTTTACATTATCATTAGTGCACTGAGGTTTTTGCATGATTCAATTAGGAATGTGGACTAGTACAATAGCATTATAAGCACTCAAATGTCAAATATATACATGATTAAAAAGAGTTGACACAAAATCAGTTATATAATTAACTAATGTTTCGCCAGAATATTAGATTCTTAAATTAGAGAACACTCGCAATAATATAATGCTATTTTGTTTAATCTGTGTAATTATATCTTCCAAATTTCCTAGAAATTTAAACTAATGATGTCGTTTTCAATAGCTTTTCTTTGGTATATATAAACAAAACCATATTCAAGTATCATGTAGAAACATTTTTACATTACTAAAACTAGATAACACATCTAAGAATAATGTAAAAATGATATAATCTAAAAAAACAATTATAAAGATTTTAATCAGGATTTAATTTTTGTTTCATAATTGATACAATAAGTAAACTTTTACAAATACCGTGAAAACTTATGATTGAATTTAAAATTTTGCATTTGATCTCTCATAACATATCATCTAATACTACTAAATAATAAGTTGATATCAAGCAACACATATGTAGACCAGGCATTTAATACACTTATATTGTTGACTCTGAAAGTTTGAATGTACTTTCTTAGGTCTTTAGCTAGTTGAAGTCCATTGCAATATCCTTACTTCTCTATCAGTGCATTGTGGTTGGCCGCAAAATCTATAAACTCCGAACTAGATTGGATTAGTTCATCAGATTAGATTGCAATATCCTTACTTCTCAGTTAAAGAAAATTTAGAAGTCAATATAATACATAGTGAGTGAGAAGAAGAGAAGGGTAAGTAAATAAAGGGAGGCCCCCTCGTGTGGAATGTGAGCAGTCCACTCCAATTATATAACTTGTGCTCTGTCTTAATTTGTGGGACATCTGCCACTGTTCTGCTTCTTCTTCACTTTCTCTCTCTCTCTCTCAAGACTCTCAACTACTTTTGTCTTCTCTCTCTCTTCCTCTCTCCCCCACACATATGTTATCTATTTTTGGGGCAGTGAAATTAACTTCTTCTTTCTTTTGGCTCCAACCCTTTTCTTCTTTCTTGATCTATATATTTTTCACCATTTATTACACTTTTTCATATCTTAGATTCTTTTTTCATCAAAATGGAATCTTTTTCATTCTAGGTGATTCATAGAATGAGAAAACCTGAGAAAATAGGTCTATAGTTTCTATATATAACACCTAGCTAGCTATATTAAGGTTTGAATAAGAATTTAACGCTTGTTAATGTTATAGTACTATATATCACCCGAAATAATGAAGGTTCATGAATATTTCGGAGATGCTTCTGTCACAAAACTGTATATGGAGATGTGGCCAAATAAAGACCAGAGTGGAAACATGCATTTAATTTTTATCCTATCGGATTGATAGTAAAATTTTTATGTTTTTAAAAAACAAAATCAACATTTCAGTTTGCAAAATGTGATCTATTAAATACAATACATATATACTTTTGTGTGTATGTTCTTGGTATGGAATTAAAGATTGATTCTCAGTTGGTTGGTATGGAAATATTAAATAGTTCCTGAAAATTTTGTTTGCACTTTGTTGAAATTAAATGAAAAATTAAAAAGATTCTTCCACTGTTTTCGAAATTTGTCCCCTCATTTTTTTTTTGTAATTATGTTTCAGAGGATAAGTTCAGTACTTCAATAATTGGTACCCAATTTGTCATATAAGATTTTAGTAGTACGAAGTTATTCTGAGAGGAGGCAGTACCACCATTTTTATTTAATATTAGTGTGAATATCAAATTATTTTTATAACTCGATGAATAATATAAATCCCTTTGTGCATTTACCAATGTAAATTATGATATTAAGAAACACATATATATAAACATTATGATGTACAGTAGGTATTATGGATCGCAGCTGTGCATTCTATTTTTATCTAACTTATAAATGTGGTGCTAATTATGCCAAAAAATGGGGATGTGGTACAAATTTATTAATTATTGCACTGACAAAAATCATGAACTATATAGCATTAAATCATTGTATTAAATCTCTCCTGGCACCACTAATAAAGATCTCTAAATAAAAGAAAGAGAGAATAAATTATTTTATGATTGAAAATTAATAACGTATTCGTGTACTTTTTTATTTTACAATGAATAGTTAAAAAATTTCAGTGTGAATTCATAAACAGAAAAATCACAATAATTTTTAATGCATCCGAAAAGGTTCTAAATGACATAAGATATTGTTATCTTTGATTTATGGTTTGTTTATAACAACAACTTTCAATGTTTTTCAGTGTATAATTTTATACAACGTACCTTCCCAAAATTTTCTCTATGATAATGAAATGAAAAAAAAATCTATACTAATAGTTTGAAGAAAATAATATTAATGAAGTTCACATTACATATTTTTATGTCAAATTTGAGATTAATTTCATAAAATAAAATACTAGTAATAAACTAGAACCATAACCATAGAAATGCAGAATTATATGGATAAAATAATTTATGATGAGAATAAAAAGAAAAATGTAGGAATAATTTATGAGATGATGCAATACAATGGTCCTTGGGACTTGCTATCTCTCACTCTCTCTCTCTCTCATCTCTGAACAAAACAGCACTCTATAGTCTATAGGGAATCCAAAACATTCATTCAGACCTGTCTGAATCTTTGAGACACAAGTTTTTGTTTCCCACAGGGTTGCCACTTTTTTCCAAATTACCATATTACTCTCTTTCCTTTTTTTATCACCCATTTTTTTTCTATTTTATCAGTAAGACTTTTTTCCTTGAAATAATAATAAGTCTCTATAACTCAACAGTGAATTCTTCTCTCCATATTATCTTATTAACTTACAAAATGTTTCAAAAATTATTTTGAATTAATTCTCTGTCGCTCCAGCTATATGGTCCCAACATCTTTTGTCTCAGATTGGGTGTAATTAAATGTTTAGTTGTAAGGAAAAAAAAATTCATGTGATTATTTTTGCATTCATGTGAGTTTATTCAAGTATTTGGCATATGTAGTAGTAAAAAAAAAAAGAAAAAAAAACTCATAGATACTCCATATAAACGGCCAATCATAAGGGCATCGAAAAAAATAAGGAGAGAAAAATAAATTGTTAAATACAAAAAAAAGGAAGAAAATGTTAAAATTCTCAAGAAAGGCAAAACTTTCTCCTTCTATGGAAAAGAGATTGGAATAATTATGATTATATTTTTTTGTCTTATAATTAATAAAGCACCGTGATGCGAATCAACGGCTCAGCCTCATCGCACTCACCGTCGTCACCTATAGTATTCGCCACCACCGCCTTAATAATATCATTCTCTACAGTCTCGGCGCACGTTAGCGTCTGCGCCTTCTTAGCCTCCGATTCCCAATCTGTGGTCCCCACAACGTACATCATAAGACCTGCGCAGCTAATCTGCGCCGCAAGTAGTCCTACCCAAAGCCCAGTAAACCCAATTCCGGCCCAAAACCCGAGACCCACTGCCACCGGCATGCCCACCAGATAAAACGCTCCCAGGTTCACGTTCGCCGCCGTTGACGGCCGTGCTGTTCCTCTCACGACTCCGCATCCCACCGTCTGAGGACAGTTTCCGATCTCGCATAAACCTAATATCGGTAACGCCGCCGCTGTTAGCTGGAGTATCTCTTTGTCTCCGGTGAATATCCTCCCCCAAGCGTTTCTGACTGAGTAAGCAAACGCCGCCGCTGTAATCCCCGTAACCGCCGCGAAAACGATAGCCACCGTGGCTGTTAGCTTCGCCGTCTTAGGACGGTTCGCTCCAAGCTCGTTCCCGACTCTAGTTGAGACAGCAAAGCTAAGAGAAGACGGGAAAACGTAAAGAAACGACGTCGTCTGGATCAAAACACCCATAGCAGCCACCGTCGATCTTGGATTCACGAGCAAACCACACAAAACGATCATGATCTCGTACCACCACCACTCCAAACAGACGGAGACACAGCTCGGACCCGCGAGACGCAGCAACGGAGCCCACCCGCGGAAACAATCACGGGTCGGGTCAGTCCATGTAGGCGCGTGGAGACCACTCGCCCAGACGTAGCAAACGAGGAAAGCTACGACGAAGATGTTTGTGATAGAGGAAGCGACTGCTACGCCGGTTAGACCAAGACGGAGGTAAGAGACTAAGAAAAGATTAGCCGGGAGGTGAAAAACAGCGCCGGAGAGAGAAGCTAGGGTTACGGGGTGAATGATGCCTTGAGCACGAAGGTAGATTCTGATTGGATGGAGAAGAGTGTTGGTGAGAAGATCAGGTAGTGAGAAGATGAGATATGTCTGAGCTAATTTAGCGATGTCGGGGTCTTGGTGAAGGTAAACCGAGATTTTGCCGACGTTTAACCAGAGAACCGAGATCGGTACGCAACAAACCAAGAGAAAAACCACGGTTCGATGGAGGGTTAGGGAGAGGAGTTTGAAGCGGTGAGCACCGAAGGCTTGAGAACAGAGTGGTTCCATACCAAGTGCTAAACCGGATAAAACAGAGTAACCGGTTATGTTAGCAAAGGCAATGGCGAGTGAACCGGCGGCTAATTCGAGGTCACCTAGTCGACCCAAGAAAAACATTGATACGGCGGAGCGTAGGTAGAGGACTAGAGCCGTCACGGCGATCGGAAAAGCTAGCGTGAAGAGAGATTTTGCCTCTGTTACAGCTTCTGCCATATGAGGAGATCCTCTGTTCTCGCAATGCCGGAGATTTCTCTTTGTGGGTTCAAAGCTATTGATCGAGAAGAGATCAAGGAAGATTCCGGTTCGGGATTCTTGGTTCTCTGAACCGGTGGTTGTTGTTGTTGATGGGTTACACATGACGGTGATGGTGATGATGAAGAAGAAAGATTTGATATTTAGTGGGGAAAGAGAAAGAGTTCTCTCGTGAAGAGCTCTCTGATGAGAATGAGAGGTTTCAAGAAATGAGAAAATTGAAAGGAAAGAGAGATATGAATTTTTTGGTGCTGCTTCTCTCTTCTCAGAGCTCTCTCTTACCATCTTAATAAAGGAGTTGGCAGTCGTATTTTTTCTTCATTTTTAATTTTGAAAAATTTCATGAAAAAGAATCTAAGCTACTTTTTATTTTTTTTGTATATTTAATATACTTTTCGGAAATTTTTAGGATAATACATTAATAGTAAATTGACAATGTATCAATTTTTTGGATACATGAATGATTTGTGACATAAGATGGAAAAAAATCAACTAAAATTAATTACTTACCCAAATGTAATTACTGGTGGACCATACACAAAGATGCTGTATCCGATATGTATTAGCAATCTATAAGAAAATACGTATCAAATCCGAAATTTTAAAAAACCTATTAGTTCAAGAAAAAAAACAAATTTTTAAAATATGTGACAAAACTTTTTAAATATTATTGAAAAAGTGGTTGAAAGTTATGAGATTAAAGTTTATTTTCGGTCTAGATGATTTGTACTAATTAATATTGTTCTGTTCTTGTATAATTAATCTGAATTCAAGATTTGTGAGTGTAGGCATATGGCTTATTAATCAAAAAAAATAAATATACATAACAAGTTCCTAATATTATGCTTCATAGATCTTGGTCAAATGTATTAAGATGGTATGGCATGTACATGTATACCGTGACCCAAGCTAGTTAATTAGAGTTCAATGCTGGTGTTTAAGGTCTTGAATACTTTATAAAACCCATACAGGATAAACAAAAACAATTTAGGTATACTAATGTAAAATTATGAATTAAGATAGACAATTCCAATATTACTTTACATCTTTTGTTCAAAGACAGTTCAACGTAACGTCTAAATAATTTAAAAGTAAGAAGATTTCGATTACCATATATAGTACAAGTTCATTGCACGTGAAGTTTCGAATCTTTTTAAGACGACCATTTGGCACGAAAAATGTGTTTGCATTTTTATTTATCTTTGAATTTCTTTTTAATATGTTTTTTTCTTCTTTTTAATGTGTTTTCATTTACAATTAACAAAAAACTCCTTTTAAAATTATTTTCTGTTTTAAAATACTTGTTCTGATTTTTATCAAAAAAAAAAAAAAAAAAAAAAATACTTGTTCTGAATTTGTTACACAAATATAATTTCATCTCTGATAAATACACTATATATTTAATAGTTATATTTAATATATTATATTACATTTAAGACTAAATCAGACATATATATATATATATATTGTGTAAATATTAAAACAATATTATTTTTTAACGAATACATATACTTTTTAACGAAAATACAGTCCAAACCATAACCAAATGTACCACATGAAGTCATGAACCAAACCATACTTAGCGTCGCTAGTCGCTACCATTGTTTACTTACTAAACCAAATTAAAGCTTAAACCAAAACTGAACGAAGAGTCGAACTAGATATCTTACCAAACTTGAATGCAAATCGGTGATTTAGTGAGAGCTAGTAATATTTATAATTAAAGACCCAACACTAAAATTAATGTTTCGTTTGACTCTCTTTAACCAAAGCTTGAAGAAACTACACTTAATTTAGCCGTTATTTCATGTTTGTCTCCATCCGGTGAACAAATTAGATTTAAACAGCAACTTAAGTCCCGGATACATCTTCGTAATTGTTTGCAGATTAAGAAATGTTTGTAATTCACAATGGAGTTCAAATCTCCAGCTATTAATGGTTTTTATTTGACTAAATAACCTTCCAACCAATATATTAAATGAAAATATATAAGTTTCCTATAGACGAATTATAAATACCTCTATAGATTTGTAGTAATGTTGACGATTGCAAAATGTTATTCTTTATAAAAGCAGTTGGGGGTTGCTATTACATAAATTAATATGATAATTTATGAAGAGTGAAATGATAATTATATAGTGTATATGTAGTGGTATATATATTTCTATGTCAGTCAATTTATTTATTTTTAATTGAAAAAAAGATAGTATGATTTTGTTGATTGGGTTTGGTAAAGCCATTTTTAACATATTGAATTGAAATTCAACTTATTATTTATCATAAACTGTACATACTATATATCTACACGTTATATATATAGCTTGGTTTGTAATTACCTATACAATCATTTGTGAGTTATAAAACTTTTCCGTCGATAAGATTTGAAACAAAGAGATAAAATAAGTAAGGCTCCTGTGAGCGTTCACGGCATAGAGGGGGCCTCGCCCTACTAAGCCTCTGATTTTTAAAAGTATTCTCCATTCTCACTTTCATTTTTATAACGTTCCAATAATTGTTTAAAAAATTAATGCATCTCTTCATATATAGTTCTCCCTCTTATATATATTGTGTTTTCATATAAATTAATTATACAATAAATACAGATCGTTTTTAAACATATTAATATGTCACTTGTATTACGATAAACTTAATATATGCTGCATTTATTAATTAAACCATATAATTTAGCAGTGTTCAAAAAAGCGCTAGGCGCTTAGGAGATTTTTTAGGCGGTTTAGACGTTTATAACATAAAACATTATAAATATGATATTATATATAAAAGTTATATAAAATATCTATATAGAACTAAAAATTATGAAATTATAAACAAAAACTAGATAAAACATTTATTTATAATTATATTAAACAATATATGAATATTTATAACTATATATATAAATAAATCTCTAATTAAAATTGAAAAAATACATTAAACAAGATCTGTGTGATTTTAGGCGGTCAAGGCGGTTATCTAGGCGTCGCATAAGAACCTAGCGCCTAGTCGGGGCCTAGGCGACCGCCTAGACCGCTTTTTAGAACACTGTAATTTAGTAATCACATTCCGGTGATACAATTAGAAATGATGATGTTGGTGTGGCTTCAAAAAGGTACAACCACGCAGAAGTTAAACTTGTCAATGCAATAGTACCAGAACGGCTATAAAATCTTGGATTACATTCGATCAAAACCCATATATTTATGAAAAATCTCAACAAATATAAAATATTTTTGAATGAGAAGTTTGGTTTCAACTATGGGCCTATACGTAATCCATCATTATTGGCCATGCATTATCGTATATACTTTTTGGTAGGGGACAATTTATTTATATGAAAGAAGATAACATTCCACCAATTTCTTGATCAAGAATTAATGTTGAAAGTGTGACATAGTACAACTGGTAGTGTATATTGTTTCCCCATTTTTCATATTCATTATGATGCAGACAATAATCAATATCAATTAATATTGCAGCAGCAGCAGCAACTACAATAATAACAAAACCACCACCAATAATAACAATAAGGAAAATTCTATAAATTGATTTGACATATATAAGAAATTAGTTTAATCGGGTATGATGTGAAAGTAATAATACAATTTTTTTTGTCCGTGGAATGGACCCGATGATTTAACTGAATATTCAGTTATATTTTATTCATTAAAAAAAAATTGTTTTGTTCCAGAAAAACATAGAAATGTGTATATATAAAGGGTAGATAATAATCAATGAAAAGTGGGGGGATAGAGATATATTATCTTCAAAATATTTTGCATGGATATGAAAACGGTGACGTAGCGAGAGGATGGTCACAGAACAAACGCCAAAATAGACTTTCGATCGAGAAAGGGTTAAATTCACAGCTGGAATCTAGAAATTCTTCTTTTTTCTCTCTTTAAAACGATTATATATATAAAAAAATAAAAATTAAATGAGAATGAAATACAGAAATTGACACAAAATATATATATCTACATATAATTTACTTATCTGAAGGGAGGTCCCAAATAAGAGCAGTGGCCGAGAAAATACAGAAGCGAAACTATTTTGGCTTCCCTTTCAAGAACAGAAGGCTAAAAGGGGACATGTGCCCTCTCTCTCATGCAATTTTCTTTTACATTTATCCTTTCAAAATTTGTCTAGATTTTTCTTTCCAAATGATTTGTATATCCATTTTCTTTTATATGTGTCATGAGATAAGACTGTCTGGCTTCTTAGACTATTGTGCTTAAATCTATGGACCGACTCCTCATAAATCAAACATTCATATCTTCAACAGCAGTGTTTTCGGATTTCCGTCTACTGTTTATAATTTTTTCATTTTGATTTATCGTTTTATTTTATTATTTTCTACTTTTATATATAGGGATTTTTGTAGAAAATATTATTTTAAAAAAAAATTACGAAAATATCATTTTTACTAAAATTCTATAGAAATATTATTTTCTGACACTTAAAAATGTACATATTTATTTTTTATTTTTTTGTTGCAAAAATACGTACTTTATATCAAATACTAATCATAAAAACAAATAAAACTGACTTAAACTAAACATAACGGATAAAACACATGTTAAATCATATTTTGTTGCTTGAGAAATGACAAAATCCACAAACTATTCAAAAAATAAAAGAATCAACAAATGTCACTCTAAAAAATGGCAAAATCCATAATTGATTTATATATATATGTTCATAAAAGATATGTTTTCGTTTGCTTGTTTTGTTTTTTCCATAGACCAAAAGTAAACAAAACCATATATCTATAAACAAATTATTTTTTCCAATTGAGACTCGAACCTATCGGTAAAGACTCGAACATATAAGTGAGTTATCGGTGATGGTTTAATCGTAATTAAATAAATAAATAAATTTTAGAAAATTAATCTTTCTATCCAATAAACAAAGAAACTTGTTTTGCTAAAAGATTTTTTATATATCTATGACTAGACTTACACTGATAGCTCGCTTTGGTTAGCACATATTTCTTTGTGGAATGTTGAATATTCATAAGTTCTAGAATCCATCGAAGAAATATGATTTACATCAAAATAAATGTATTAATGGCTATTCCAGACGAAAAGAGAATATATATGGATTAAGGTCCTATATATTTCTTGTCAATATATACATACAAGCAGACTAAACTAAAATAGTAATGTCAATAGAAGTTTTAGTTATT